CATCAGGTGAATGGTAGGGAGTATGAGGGGGATGGTCCTCTTATACTTCATGATGGATATTACTGCATCATCTCCATGTTGATGTTGGATCAAATCTTTGAAGGGCATTTAGAAGTGGAATGCACCTCATTCCCCTTCATACTCCCTACCATTCACCTGATGAAGGAGTAAGCATACACTCCGAAACGTCGTGTTATTCACAATAAAGAAGTTGACATCCATAAATCTTGCTTTTCTTAAACAGTCAATGAGTCTACAAGCATCATTTGATTCTCATCTGTAATCTGAGAGAAATTGTTGGAAAAACTATGCAACTACCAACAAAAACCTTCAATATTCAATTAGCATTTCCAACTGAATGACACAGATTTGGCAGGTTACATCTGTATTGACTCAAATCTAACATACCATTATTTCACATATCAAACATCCAGTCTACATCAGTGATTCAGTCTATTGCCAGGGTTATATTGTCAAAGCTAGACATTATCCTTCAGGCAAAACTTAAATACTTGACAGTTCATACATTACATGCATAAAGAAATGATTAGAAAAACCTCATTACTTATAAAGATCTCTCAAATTACAAGAACTGACACATATTTGATTTGATTGGCAATATCAATGTAAATAAATATATAGTTGTTTTGCCAGTTAAATGTCATCCCTCCCTTCTAAATTACAGGTAAATAACTGGTAAATTAGAATGAAACTGATGGACTGATGATGGCCCATGAAAAATACAATTCTGTATATCAAATATAATGACCCTGAGATTCTAACATATACATGTATGTTCATTTTGCTCTAGAGGGAACTCACTCATTGCATCAAAGAGAATGGTTTAATGGGTATCTTTGCAATATTTCAGCGATACCATTACATTGTACAGTGGAGGTACATCAGAACAGGTCTTTTTCAGTATCATGAGTGAACAGTTCAGGTTATCACAAAGCCCTTTGCTCCATAAAAGTTGATGTTTTACACTTTTCTTGAGCATGAGTGGATATTTTGAACTTTTTAACATTGAATCCTTATCATTTATAACAATTTGTAAAAAATGATTTTACTATAATAAACATTCCGCTAAACATGTGCATATTGCTTCATCACTATACATTTTCATCATATCCTTCGGCTTTTGCAAACAGACTCTGTAATATTTACTAGAGCTGGCTAATAAGATCAAATAATTGGAAATATCATCAATAATACATATGTGATGAAATATAGTTTTGGTTTACGCACACAATACACAAACTTTGGTCTTTATTTGTGTGCAGTTTCTAAATTGTATTTAGGACAATGTTTTGTTAGTTAACCATGCGTAAATACGTCATGCACTACACACCAGCAATATATTGATTTCTTTCAGACTTTGGGGGCAATTTTCCTCAAAGTTACTTCTCAATGTTTATCAATAATTAATCAATATTTAGTTAACAATTATCGATCTCTATGATCAATATCGATAGCCAGGCTAATACTTTCATATGATTCCTCATCAGATTTTTAAGTGAATTAAATCAGGACAGTTTCTTCTCTGATGAGAATTATTTGTTCAAAGCATACATAAAATCATTCATACTAAAGTAAATTGCCTAACTTTTCCCAGATGCTTGTTAAATGATATAGATTTACTCATCCATGTTATTTGGAATTCTTCTTAAACTTCTTAAAGAAGCAATAATGGCAGATGAGATGCTGCTCAACAGCAAAACTCAATTATTCATTCACACAACAACCTTATGAAACATGCCTGGTATCACTCAGTAAATTAAAATCAAAACAGAAACATCGAGCAAGCACATTTTGAGACTCTTTCCTTTGTACAAAATCCATCCAGAATCAAACTCACAGAGTTTCTTCCATTGAAAAAACATCTTACCTGAGTATAAAAAATCCAGGCTTTTCATGCAACATTCAGAAATAATCTATCCATATGACAGTGATGTGTAAGATTTGTCGATTATTAACTGAACAAATCTGACATTAAGCATGTCAGCTAGGGTGGAAATAACTTTAAAATTGCTAGTGTACTCCGGAACAGTGGCACATGTAAAATCACTTGCCCTGATAATTTTTCCACTATACCTGCCGTTTTCTTGTTGATTTTTAAATAAACAACATAATTAACATCGGAAAGTCAACTGGACATGGGTACAGTGTGATATACAAATTTGCTTGCCCGACAGAAAAAACACTGAACTGGGACGTCTGGCAATGGGTTATTTCCACCCTGTTAATGTCACCAGGCCTAATTAACTGATTCATCAAGGTTTGATTTCTTGGGACTGTTTATTACCCGCAATTCCCCCAGTGTTTATTCTTACACACTAAGAATAAAATAGATTTAACAAGACATGGGTCATTTTAACAAGACATATGTCTGTGAGCAAAAATGCTTTGATGAGTTCTTTTTACAATTAGTTACATTCTTCATTACAATCTGAAATGATGGTCAGGCCATTGGAAAAACAATTTGTGCATTTTGTTCTGTGGCCAAGAGATAAGTGTTGTCATTTGTCAAAAAATCGAGGACTTGATCAGTTTAGCTCCATGCAATACTGTCCTCACATAATAAGTAGGGATACATTTTCAGTACTGGTTTTTATACACTGTTTCTCTGCCACGCATGAATACATGGGACACTTTGTAGTGTAGTTTCTATTTTCAACCCACAGCCTGGTTTCAACCATCAACAGGGAAACCAGCCACTGTTCTGCTAAATGAACCTCATCTTGATGTCCCACAAATATTTCCCATGCAACATGTACAACAGACTTACAGCCATGTACTTTGGACTAAGCTCATTTGAGTTAAACAGTACAATATCATTGCTTGACTCAATATAAACGTGTCACTACTACATCATATTTTGGACCTATGTATTTATAAGTGATGGGAGCATGTACAGCAGTTATTGACAATGCTTATGCATGGTTTTACGCAACGTTCAAATGTGTATCCAGTATGCACAAATATAGAGAATGGAAGCAGAAAAAAAATTCACTGCATCCAGAGGGAAGCAGAATATTATTCATTGTACCCACCACACATCTAGGATTTTTGTTGTTTCTGTCAGAGCAGTTGTTCTAATAACTAGGGTCCCAGGGACCCCATGTTAGTGAGTCGAGGTAAAACCTTGCTTATGACAGTCATCAATGGTCTTCTTTCAGGGCTTCTTCCATCGCTTGCAACTGGGCTTTCAATTCCTCCATCTTCAGTCCAATGGTTCTCAAGACATCTTGTCGCTGTTGCTCAGACAACTTGGTTAACAATTCTGAATATTCCTTTACTGTCTCTGAAACAGCTTCCTGTGCTTCTTCCATGTCTTCAGAGAAGTACACACTGCCCTGACTCTCTCGCTGCAAAAGATATGCCTGGGTGAGATCCTGAACATTTGCACACATGTTAAAACTTATTCCTACTTATGATCTGAGGAACTGACCATTTGATATTCTGGTGTTCCTGTCACATTCTTTTAAAACAATCATTGGTTTGAGAAAAAATATGGAGACATGTTATTACTCCTCAGGTTGTACTCTTCTCCACACAAGAATTGTTCACTAGATGTCCCTAAACAAATAATTAGTATGGCTCCTTCTTTCACAGAAAAAAAACATCTTTCAAAGATGAGTAATCTGGAAGAATCTGAGGTTGAAAAATCCATGCTAGGGTCCATGATGGGAAGGAAAAGTACTTAAGTCCCCATTATGTTTCCTAGTATGGTGATCTACCTTCAGCTGCTGGTGATGTTTTTGCACATTAAATCATGGGTCCCTTAAAACTATGCAACCTCTACTTGATCTATAAGTACCTCATAAAAAATACTTTTCTTTCAGACCTTGGAATAGTTATTAGTATCAGACTATGCCAGATGCTTGATTTCATGTTGCTGTCAGGAATATTTCAGCTATATGTCGCAGTCGTCTGGAAATAATCCAGTTTCGTTCATACAACACGTGAGTGATATCATGAGCAATGACATGTTGCTGTGGAGCAAAGCAAGCATACAGTCAAGTCAACAAGCATAGCCACCTGATCCATCTCGGTGTACTCTTAAAAGCTTATACTACTTGGCGACACATTATCTTGGTCCCACAGGTACACAAAAATGTTATCACTGATTTCCAAGGCACATATTTGGATTTGATTGATTGTTGTTTAATGCCACACTCAGCAATATTCCACCTATATGGTGGCAGTCTGTAAATACCGGTAATCGAGTCTGGTCCAGACAATCCAGTGATCAACGGCATGAGCATCCTACTACACAACTGGGATACAATGACTTGTTAACCGAGTCAGCGGGCTTGACCACCCAATCCCGTTAGTTGCCTCTTACGACAAGCATGGGTTACTGAAGACCAATTCTTTAGAACAGCCAGCTAGCTTTAGACTTTTATTTATGTCATAAACTTTACAAAAATCACCTCAAACCATGTTTCAAATTTTGTTCCCATATATTCTAGTGGTTAGTGGTAATGACTAAAATACTCACAGCATCTGAAAGTAATTCTCTTGCTTCCATGAATTTATCTGTTAAACCTTCCATTGCCCTTTTTAGTTCAGTTTGAGTAATTTCTTGAAGCAAAACTCTGCCTGTCGAGAAAGGTCGATTACTTGGTTTTTCAATTGATAGATGCCATTTCCTTTGCCACCATAAACATCCTACACTTACGGGCGATATCTTACAGTTCCACCTGAAACCGTTTGGAAGCACATTTTGTGAACAACATTTGACTACTGGTTCAGGGCCAGCTGCCTTTTGCGTGGAAAAACATGACTTTTTTAAACGATTTAAAGACACATATCTCAATGTTCTAAAGCAGATTGCTTTCGCATTGTTCGAAACCAATGTCATCATAATAAAAGTTTGATATCCCCGAAACTAAAGCACCCTCGAAAACTCAGAACGCCGTTTCTGAAATCAAGTACTTTTACGGAACTTGATAATGCGCATGTCCGGAACCGGAAGACGTCATATCGTGGCAAAACCCGTATGCAACATTCGAAAGAAGATTATTTTTCGACACTCGGAAGTATTTTCAGGTAAAACACGAAGCTATTGCTACTAGACATTGGTATTTCAGTTTTTAAATGAATCAGATACACCTATATATCCACAGTGAATGACAATTTCTATCCCGATTTACTTGTTTACTTCTTGCGGCCGGCGCACAAACAATGTGAATTCCATGCCTTCCACCGCATGCTTTTCATACATGTCGCCCGATAAGAAATCGAAATTGAAGATGTTCAGCGATTTTAAGCTCTGTTAGTGAATAAATATGATCTAATTCAGGAATGTGTAGATATTATTGTGTTTGGATTTAGAGCCAATGGAAATTTCCCGAGGTTATAGTTTGACGTTTGAATAATCACATGGTCGTCTCAAGTCTATCATCATATTAAACACACGAAACAACACACGATACGCTTCGATTAAACAATTCAATCTTTGTAAGCAAAAGGTGAGCAGACATCGCATGATGCTACAATAATACCATTCAGTATCGTTTTGGAAGTGAAAATGCATATTTTAATTAAGCATGTCTAGCTAAATCTGAAACCTTTAGAAATGATTACTCCATTCATCATGTTCACTGATTCAAAGTGTACATTGATTTCTTGTTCACTTCTGAATCCGTTTTATCTATGTTTTAGTGTGTATCAAGGATGCATTACTGAATCAAAAGCAGAAAATAGAATGTTGAAAACAGCCTTTTTAACATTTCCAAAATATGTGCTGACATATTTGGATCTGGATCATATTCATAAAGAATATATGATATACAGCAGATATATCCATGGTTAACAAGATACATTAGGATGTGAGGCACAGATAGATGTCTTATTTCCTTTTCATAAGTAATTGCATTTAAAGTTAGCTATTTGAACACATTTGCTGGCAGTAGTGTTGACAGGCCATGCTGGAAAAGTTGTCACATGTTTATGCAGTGATTCTGTGCATGATTGAAGGATGATTGAATGTTTGGTAACCTTCAAGATATGGTGGAAATAAGTCACATGCTTTTCCTTATAAAATATCAGCATTAATCTTATTTTAATTGTTAACTTTCCATAATCATGATTACCCAGTACATATGTTCCCTGAAAATATTTCTCTCAAAACAATATGCAGCCTCAACGGTTTTAACTATATGAACATAACATTAACAATGTAGAAGAAATATTAAATGATGTTTTTCACATTATTGTCATTGTCAGGGGCTTAGGCACAAGAGGATTTGATTGTCATTGGTTTGAATTCCAGAGTTGCTATTATCAAACACATTAAAATCAGATCATATTTCAAGCTGCCACTAATTAATAATCTGGGTATTGCATTTCGGGTCATGTAAGGACAGCATTTCATCCAGTCAATTAACATGTCGCTCTCCAAATCAGGAAAGGGACAGTCTGAGGTTGTTTTCCAACCATGCAACCTTGAAAAGTGTAACAAAAGATATTCCAAACGGAAAGAGTTCCTTCCGTTCCCCCAACTCTAAACCTAACCCTAAACCTAGCCCTAACTTAAATTTTGGACTTTTAATCATTTTGTGAGTTCTCTAGTAATTGTTGTGTTAAGTTTTGTTTATAATTCTAGAATATTTATACATATTATTTGGGATGGGGGAACGGGAGGAACTCTTACCTTCCAAACAACTGTTAAGGGCTGTATGATTCTGTCAAAGTCATTCACTATTTCGCTTTTCAATGGGATAAACATTTGAAAGAGAGGAAGACATTTTACATAGCTCATGGGAAGTTCTGACCAACAATCTTTGCCTTCTATGAGGATATGATTTTATTTAGGCACTGAAAATGGTTATTATGATCATGATGTTGATGCTTTTGAAATGTTTATCATGTTAAATAACTCATCCTTGTTGAACAAGGTGGACTAGTGTTGTCACTGACACCACAGCATATGGTTTCTTACAACCATGACCTTTATTTTTTAGGCCTACTGTGGAGTTAAATGGTGATTGGTTATCTCACTGGTCGTTGTAGATGAACCAATGCTATGCCAGCTAGTGCTCTCGAGAACATTGACTCGGCAGTAGACGAGACGCTGAAGGCCTCCTTGATAACAGGGAACGGCATCGACAAGCAGCTGGTCTCTTCTGCCAAGAGAGTGCTGCTACACAAGGTGGACTTCCACCCAGCAGACCGACCCTACTCACTGCAGATAGACTCCCTCAGATCCAAGTACATCCCCCTCAACCCATCCCAGAGCTACACACCAGGTAGTGGTACTGGGGCAGAAAAAGGGAATGGTAAGTTGACATTCAATTTTCATACAACTTGCACAGTAAGACCTACCCTTATCCGTTTTCATGACAAAATAGACCCCCTGTATCTGTTTGTTCTCATATGTTAATAGTTTTACCAGTTAGGCATCTCTTGATGCAAGTACTACATTTGTGTAATATGCACTTAGCATGTTGGAGCTTAGAAAGTTAAGACCCTTTAGATCTAAATATGAAGACAAGACATTTTTTTTAGATCAAGAACTAAAACATTTTCAACTGTAAATAATCGGAATTTACGTACACCTTCGTCATTGTGGCTTTTTCTCCAAAGAAATCTGTAATATACACAAGAATGCAAACTGTCGTGGAAAAATAAATTTTAAGTAGGGGGCACTAAGATTACATACAGATTGGTGTAGAAGTTAGTTAGCAGCCCTTGATCATGCGTTAATTGACCATTGTCACACTACATACATCGGATACTGTATATATGGAGCATACCCCATGGTCCTTCTTAGGTTTAACGTGAAGCCCATTTCGGGTGATATTGCTGGAATATTGCTAAAAGCGGCATAAAACCATACTCACTCACTAGGTTTAACCAATATAGTTGAAATAGTTAACAAAGATAAGCAGGTTATATTGTAAGCATTGAACCCCATGCCATGGATTGTGCCTCAGATATTGTTTGCTACTGAGGTAATTTTTGAGCATATTATATCATATCTGTGCATGTAACATGTGTTAAACGTCAAGTTTCATGCAAATATTGCAGAACATTTAAACATTTGGATTATTCAACCTGTTCTATGATATTGTGTAAAGTATTAAGTTGTGTTTGTAAATATACTAGCCACATAAAGAAACTGTGCATTGTCAAAATATTAACCCAGTTGATAAGTACGATAACAATGTCAAAGGTACATATAAACTTTAATGGAGGGATCATGAGACCATAACAAGTCGGGAGAATTTCAATTGAAAAGTCAATCACAATGACGTCACGAGTCCACAAGCGGGACAGGGGTCAAACGACCATGTCACAAGCTCAATAGCGGGTATGTCCACCATCGGCATTGAGAACAGCAGTGCATCGACGACGCATAGAGCCTATCAAACGTGCAAGGAAGGCTTGTGGGATGTCACGCCAGATTCACTCAAGTTCTGTTGCAAGGTCAAGGACGTTATCTGGCAGATGAGGAAGACAGCGTGAGCGTCGATCCATCTCGTCCCAAACATGCTCTATCGGGAGAGATCCGGTGAATTTGCAGGCCAAGGCAGTAAGTCAACGTTGTGGTGTTGCAAAAAATCCATAGCAACCCTTGCCGTATGAGGGCGGGCATTGTCCTGTTGGAATGTTAACCCAGGGCCATGACGTTGCAGAACAGGAATTGCCACAGGTCGAAGAATCTGATCCCTGTAGCCCACACCAGTTAAGTTGCCCTGAACAATCACCAAAGGAGTTCTTTGGCGTGCTGTTATTCCACCCCAAATCATCACTGAACCACCACCAAAGCGATTCCTCTCCATGACACATGCCTGTGCATAACGTTCTCCCACGCGTCTATAGGCACGTTGACGTCCATCACTATGGGAAATGTTTAACCTGGACTCATCTGTAAAAACAACATTTCACCACCAAAACAAGGGTCTGCGGACATGATTTCGGCACCACATTCGGCGAGCTTGTCGATGACGTGTCAGGATAGGCCGTATGGCAGGACGTCGTGGTCTGATGACGTAAACGTTGTCGAACTGTGTTGGGGTGGATACGGCGAAGTCCTGGGATGGTTCGGGCAGTCATCACTGCAGTCTGAAACCTGTGGCGGAGAGGGGTCACCCTTTTCCATATGTCCTGTCTTGGCGTTGTTACACGTGGACGTCCAGAACATGGCCGATCGATGACGTCATTTGTGTTCCTGTAGCGTCTCACCAGTGCAGAAATGGTGTTCCGGTGGCAGTGGAAATGTGCAGCCACTTGTCGTTGAGACAATCCCCCATGGACCATCCCAATGGCCTCATGACGTTGTGCAGACGTGAGCCTTGGCATGCTATGCGTTTCAATAGCCGTTTAATTTTTTGAACGATCGCAAGGGCATGGGTTGAGCTTTCCAAAGTGACAGTGTTGTGTGGCATTCATTTGCTCTGTTTCTCTTTCCCGGACTGTACGTGCAACAACGTATTGCATGTCTCAAGGACGAACCCACTGACGTCACAGAACGTGGCACGTGCATGCATGTTGGATACATGTCATTAATCTCTGAGTTTAAATCCTTATGTGTCTACACAGGTTTGATAAATTTAGATTTTAAATTTGTGTATGCACAGTTTCTTTATGTGCCTAGTATACATGGGAAAAATTGTTCTATTCATAATCAGTGCTTTATGTTGTGGTTATCAGGAACATGCTTGGATATTCAGCATGTTTTTGTTTCTTCTTCACTTCCTGGTAGTGTTTTGCTTTCGTTCTCTGTATCACCAGGCCAAGTGAATATTGATTTATGTTGCATAATAAAGTATCAACCAGTATGAACTCTGTTTGAATCCCTGTGGGGTGGTTTTTCAGTTTGTTCAACAGGATGTAGAATTATGCATAAATGTCAGGGGCACTCGTGATAACAATAATGTTAAAGGTTTAACTTCATATATACTCTATCAACGACCTCAGGTCGACAGTGTTCAATGCCGTGAAGACATGAAACATGCCAATTTTCTGTGTCTTGCGTGTGATCAGATGGTAACTTTCTTCATTTAATACTCTTTGGTATAAATGGCTGGGGAGTCATTCAAAATGAAAAAGATAAATCATGTATTGATCTTCGAATAAAACAATGAAATGTTTAAACTTTCTTGATGCTAAAAGGGCGGTAGGGTAGCCTAGTGGTTAAAGTGTTCGCTCGTCATACCGAAGACCCGGGTTCGATTCCCCCCGTGGGTACAATGTGTGAAGCCCATTTCTGGTGTCCCCCGCCGTGATATTGCTGGAATATTGCTAAAAGTGGCGTAAAACTAAACTCACTCACTCACTTGATGCTAAAACTTATTTCTACACTTGTTTTATCCTACATTCACCCCAGTTCTGGTGTTCCCTATCATGATGTTGCAGGAGTATTGCTAAAAGCGATGTAAAACATTGTTGTCTCCCTCACCCCTGCATTCATCAAATTGATAGCAGCTCCAGCTGAGGTTGTTTTTAGGACGAATACATGATTAATATGCTTGACATTCAAATCATGAAAAATAGGGCTGTTACCATTCACTTGTGAATAGCATAAATCGACCAGAATCCTTTCATGATTTAAATTCATTATTTGCAATCATTGAAATGGAATAGTCATGAATTTTGTACAAAGGAGTGTTTTAATTAAATTTGGCTGTTATTGTCAAAGTGAGATATGTAAAATGGAATATATCCAAGCCAGGCACCATTATAGTCAGCACTCTGATATATTCAGTTTGATAGCACTGTTGTCACTGGTAATTGTCATGATAAATTAACATTGTCATACTGGTCAAACCCTTGTCAAACAATCAATTTTGTTTTTGTTTCACTGAATGTAATGAATAACGCATCAACAGGTGACTTGTTATAATGTTTGGTACCCAATATTCAGGATATGTAGCCCTTGTCTTGTCTCCCCCCACCATGATATTGGTAAAGTATTGTTAAAAGTGGCGTAAACCTAACCTCGCCCACTCACTCAGGATATGTGTCATATTCACCCTATAGTTGATTCATTCATCCCTAATGAACAACACAAAATTGATCCGTTACCATTCTTGTAGGAATGTACTGTAATTTTCAATTATCAATCCTGATTTCTCATAAAAACTTCAAAGAATAGTAAATTGCTCAAATAGAGGTTTGGTCGTTAAGGTTTGGGGAAAAAGTGCAAATATTGATCTGGGGCTCCTTTTAAGGTTTGGGGTTAACCTTAACTCCCAAAAAGTGCAAATATTGATCTGTTCTGTATGGATGGTATGCTGATGAAGCCTTCATCATGTTCTTGATTTGAAATCAAAGTCTTGACCACTTTTTGTGACTTTCTTGTACTTTGTGAATGTATCACATTGCTTTAATTTTAAATGGACTTTAGGAAAGATGAATGTTGCAAGTCAAAGGGAAGGCGAGGATGGTTTGCCTGTCCCCAAAGTGGTGCTATACCCAGAGGAACGGGTCAAGTTGGAATGGCGGCGTGTTCAGAAGATTGGATCGGGGCTCGTCAACATGGGCAACACATGCTTCCTCAACTCCACCCTGCAGTGTCTGACCTACACTGCACCTCTGGTCAACTACTGCCTCACTGATGACCACATCACCTCCTGTAAGTGCCCAGAAATTATGTTGTGCGCAGTCGTGTAAGAATTAGATCTTCAGTGGCATAAATGTGTAAAAGAAGGGACTTTACCTTGACCTTAAAACTTTAATAGCCCATATGAAGTAATGCCATTTAATCTCATGGTGTCCCCTGAAATATATTTAAAAGCAGTGTAAAACCATACCCACCCACTCACTCATTTGATCTATTATACATTCTATAATGTTCTAAAATAGAAGTCATTAATTTGAAACTGGTGCCAAAAAGTTGAGAAATCTGCATTCTGATTGTCTAATGTCAACTTCGTTTGTCATTTCAATGGGACCCGTGAAGGTCCAGGTTAGAATATTGATCTTCAGTAACCCATGCTTGTCATAAGAGGTGACTAACGGGATCGGGTGGTCAGGCTCGCTGACTTGGTTGACACATGTCATCAGTTCCCAGTTGCGCAGATCGATGCTCAAGGTGTTGAACACTGGATTGTCTGGTCCAGACTCGATTATTTACAGACTGCAGCCATATAGCTGGAATATTGCTGAGTGCGGCTAAAACTAAACTCACTCACTCATTTCAATGGTCGCTCAAAGTTTGTGAAAGGTGACTTGTAATGGCATGTCCTCGGATCATTGTTTAACAATGGTCTAATTGTGTGGAGTTGCAATTTGCATATCTAATGTCATTATTCTTTAGATTTTATTTTACAAACAAAACAGGTGGAAATGCATTGTTAAAAATGTTCCCAATTTTAGAATATTGATTCCAACTGCATTTTGTTCGATGGTTTAAGGTGTCAATAACTGCATCAAAGTTCTGTTAATGATTGATAATGGGTATCAGAGGCAGCTACGATTTGATTGTGTGTAGTTGTGTCCCTTGTGCCAAGGACATATGATCATTTGTTGGATGTCAGATTCACCCTGACTATGGTTTAGGTTTCTTTAAATAGTACCATACCCGTGGATTTCATCAAAGTTAGTCTGTGCTTTTACTCCGCTTGAAGCTGAAAGGCCAGGATGTGACTGGAATACTGTTCAAATTCCCAAACCTAAGTCTTGTAAAATCCATGTATTCATTATTCATTATCCATGTATTCATGTATTGCATTTCAGGTAAGCAGGCTGGTTTCTGTATGGTGTGTGAACTACAGCGGCATATACACGGAGATGTTTTGAGAATGCTGGTCATGCTATCAAGCCTCAGTCTATTCTACAGAAGCTGAAATGTAAGATAGTGTTACCATTTCATGGCAACCCTCTCACCCATGGGTTACGTGTAATAACGATTCCTCTCTTCGCATGAGATGCTGCCACTACACATGCATGTCTACAAGATATGTGGAGTGTTAGAATTTAAGTGGTTCCTTGTAATTTGCTGCTGTAATGTAATGAGTCTCCAAGTGTTGAATATATTTCGTTGACACCGCCTCCATGGTGTAGTGGTTAGAGTGGAAGGTCGCGTGTTCGACCCCCGGCCACGTCATACCAGAAGACGTTAAAATGTGGTACTTGTTGGTCCCTGCCTGGTGCTCGGCATTAATGGGTACAACAAGGACTGGTCGGCTCGGAGTCAGTATAATGTGTCTGAGTGGGGTACTCATGCTTAACTGCGGCATGGTATCTCAGTGAGCTCATACTTTAAAACCACCTTAAGTCTGGGCTAGTACAAGCAGCCACACATACACACGCATGCACGTTGTCATATGAGCGAAATATTCTTAAGTGCGACATTAAACCCGTTTTCACCTGACCTAACCTCACATACCCCAGTATATTTCCCTGGTTCATTCTGCAGGTGAACAGTGGCATATTGTGAACAAAGTCATTTGCACAGTGTTTAGTGTTGGGTTGGGCAGGACAGAAGCCCTAGAACTCTCAGAAGCCATGGTTTGGTCATAGCCTGGTTCTTTCAAGTCGCTTGAAACCCACCTTTGACATTAGCCTAATATTTTGTTATAGACAGTGTAGTGGTCATGATCATCAACATTGAGCATGTCACTATTACAGATATGGACTGGAAATGGATTATAGTACATAGCCTGCTTTTGAGATTAACAAGTGAGAGTAGGATTATACTTGGTAGTGGGCATCAACATTACCAACATTTGGAAGTTTTACATAGTTACCTTGGTTATGTTAGTTTGATTCTTGTCTCAACTGAATTTGAAACAAATCAATATTTGTTTCAGTGATTGCAAAACATATGCACTGGGGAAGACAGGAGGATGCTCATGAATTCCTTCGCTATGTTGTGGATGGTTTGCAGAAGGCCTGTCTCAATGGCCATTCCAAGTGAGTATTGATCTTTTGTTGTTCTTTTGGTTTTAAAGTGTTTCTAAATTATGCTTGATTGGCTGGTTTCAGAGCCTTTCAAAAACATTGTTATTTCTTCATGTTAGTGAAATTAAAGTCTATGTTATGAGTATTTCCATAAGCATGTTTTAACAGGCATCCCTATGTTAGTTCAAGGGCAGAATAGGTCCCAGTACTCATGCCTGTCCTATGAGCCATCTTTTTTAGATCAATTAAAATTCGGTCATGTCAGCACTATTGTATTTAAAACATCTCTCTTTTTTTCAATTTTAGACTGGACAAATTTAGCAAAGAAACCACCGTGATAAACCAGATTTTTGGAGGTTACCTTCGAAGTCAGGGTAGGTAACCATGATGACAAAGTAAAAGTGATGTCAATAGATTAAGTCTCACCATAACATCCAGGAAATCTGAGTGATTAGGCCTTAGTTCTTAAGTAGATCTGTGTTTATTTTCCACCCGTGGAGATCCAGCAACCCATGCTTGTGATAAGAGGTGACTAACAGGATCAGGTGGTCTGGCTTGCTGCCTTGGTTGACACATGTGTAGAATGATGCTCATGATGTTGATCACTGGATTGTCTGGTCCAGGCTCAATCATTCACAGACCTCCACCAAAGCGCTGGAATATTACTGAGTGCAGCGTTAAACAAATACCTATTGCCCACATAGTTTCAAAATGACCTTCCCAACTTGTATGTTGCAGTAATATTAATATTGAATATTGATCTCCCCAGTACTTGATTGAATTTGCAAAAGGTAACTTGATGGAAAGTTGTCGTTGGACTCTGCAACCTGGTTTGATTACCTGTCATCGTATCCTGGCCATGGGGATGCAGTTCTTGATAAGAGTTCACTGAATTATCTGGTCCAGACTTCATTATTTATAGCCTGTTGTAAAGCTGGCATATTGCCGGATGTGATCTCCAGCAACAAACAATGCACAGTAATATTGATTCTCTATTTCATTTTTCAGTTCAGTGCCTCAGATGTAAAGAAAAGTCGAACACATTTGATCCATTTCTGGACATCAGTTTGGATATTAAGGTGCGTAGTTTGAGTGTTTCTATCAGTGTAGCGACATGTAGATGCTAAAAGTAGTAATTACCCATGATATTTCTGGAATATCGTTGAACTACGTAATACAACCCATTATCGACATTACATTACCTGTAAAACCATTTGAACCAAGGACCACTTGCATGTCATCTTCTAACATGTTGATTGACTATGATTTGAGCTGTGTGATTGTTGTTTCAGAATGTGCAGAGTGTTGAAAAGGCATTTGAGAGATTTGTGCATCACGAGACGCTGGATAATGACAATGCCTATATGTGCCCAAGGTACCGATCCTTATGTTGTTGTTTTGTTCAAAGCTGTTAGTACTCAGAGCATTGAAACAGATTACTGTAAGTTGCCCAGTCCTCTAATGTTCAGTAATTCACTATCTATAGTTACCTCTCTCAGTAACTGTTGATTCTGTGTTTGAATCGCAGACTGGAACCGATTATTTATACTCAGTTTCAAAAAAGTGGAGACCGGCTGAGCTGTTTCACTTTGGGATTGCCCAAATTATCCTGATATGCATTTCTAACTAAAATTTCATACAAATCTCAACTAAATCATTGAAATGGGTTTTATGATCTTTGCATCATATGCAACGCTTGTGATCATATTCATGAAAGTATTTAATGTCTGATGGTGCAGGGGTGGTTTGGAAGTCTTGTGGTTGTAGCGTTCGCTCGTCACACCGAAGACCTAGGTTCGATTCCGAAGCACATGGGTACAATGTGTGAAGCCCATTACTGGTGTCCCCAGCTGGAATATTGCTAAAAGCAGCATAAAACTAAACTCACTCACTCACTGACTCTTATGGTGCAGGGTAGTGTGAGATGACCGCTGTTTGACACAAGATGGTTACAAATTTGACTCTTTCAGGTGCAAGCAGAAAGTTTCTGCTCACAAGAGGTTTTCAATCCACAAAGCACCGAATGTACTCACAGTCCAGCTTAAAAGGTAAGTTGATTCAGAACATGTCTTTTCATGATCCAGTGTCTGTTCTATTTTGTTTTACCACATGGGTACAATGTGTGAGAAGCCCATTTGTGGTGTTTCTCTTTTCCTCCTTTTCTCTCTTCTTTTTCTCTCTTCTCTTCATCCTCTCCCTCTCTCTTCTTTTCCCCCAATTTTTCCTGGTTTCCATGGAAATGATTAGGACTTAGTCTCAAAAGGGAGGGATGGGCTTCGTTTCCGGAGCACAACTCGAAAACCGTTTAATATCTTTCAACAGAACTTGGCAGATTTATGAGACAGATCTTGAAGTGGTGCCTTTTGCTATTTACACATTTTTGGCATTTATATTTTTCATGATTTCCATGGAAACGATTTGGACTTAGTCTAAAAAGACATCAAGCTGGACTTTAAGTAACTGTCAGATGATTTGTTCTTTCAAATATGTGGGGCTGGGGATATGTCATCTTCTGATGACTCTTGTTGTGCACGTTATCCCCAATGGGGACAGATTTTGGCAGAAACCTTTTCTCATTTAACAGCTTATGTATCGCTATTTGTAGGAAGAATGAATAGTTGTCAATATGAGGAACAGAACAGGTGGTGGGGGATATTGATGACCATGTCTTCTTGTTGAACCATCATGTCATTAGAAGCCATATCATCTAAATGACCATGTGTTATTGTTATTGACCATTAGTGTCCTAGAATGTGCCACCACATTTGATATTTGCTCCAGGTTTGACTATAACCGTTTGATGGGGAAAGTGAGTCGACACATCCACTTTCCTGATAAACTCAACATTCGGCCATACATGAGCAGTGAGCAGGTAAGAGAAAGTTGCACAGATTATTACTGAAGACGGCATCAAAAGGAGAAATCCTTTTCCAAAAAAGGTGTTTACGGGCTTAATTAGAAAATGTTGTAAATCTGAAGTTTTGCTGATGCAGATAATGCCAATGTGTAAGAAGAGCCTGTTAAATAAATACTGAGCGATTGCAGTGTGGTATGGCTGACTCATTGTCTTTGTATCGTGTTGTCAACCACTGGATTGTCTGGTCCAGATTTTTGTCAGGTTGCAGTGTCTGTTTGTTTGTTTGTTGTTTAATGCCACACTCAGCAATATTCCAGCTATATGGTGGCGGTCTGTCCAGACCAGACAATACTGTGATCAACAGCATGAGAATCGATCTACGCAACTGAGATAAGATGACATGTGTCAAACTAGTCAGCAAGTCTAAGGCTAAATAAAAAAATGTTGTGGTTCCGATTACACCTCTTAAAAATTTAGGGTAGGTAGGTCGGAATATTTTCTTTTACATATTTTCTTTAGAAGTAAAGTACAAACTAATAACACATTTATCAATGTGCAATTGTTTATTCAATCAAGCTTGCGGCCATCATATCGACTTTCTGTATCAGAATGACATATATCTGTTGGTGCCGGGGAAAAACAATGGTATCTGAAAGCTTATTTTATTCATTCCGCTTAAAAAAAAAACATGGTTGGGACTAGAATTCAAGGGTCAGTTGGGTAATCAGAACCACAACATATTTTTTTATTTTAGGCCTAACCACCTTATCCCGTTAGTTGCATCTTTCGACAAGCATGGGTTGCTGAAGACCAATTCTAACCCGGATATTGACAGGCTGCAGTGGTTTAGCTGGAATATATACTACTGAAATGAAGTTCACAAATACAATCTTGTATCTTTCTCGTTCATATTGCTGTAGATAATTTGACATGCCATTATGCTTGATAACGGTGTTAGTACCTACACCGAAACTCGCACTCATTGCAATAAAGAAGTTGACTATCCATAGACTATCCCTGGTTTTCCTTCATTATGTCATGCCTGTGTGGGTATATATGTATGTGTTTGTCCCCAGGGTGAAGCCGTGATGTACCACTTGTACGCAGTACTGGTTCACTCAGGCTTGCACTGCAACTCAGGGCACTATTACTGCTATGTGAAAGCTCCTTCTCAGATCTGGTACTGCATGAACGACTCCACAGTAAGTTGCTCCTCTGTATTATTGCACAAATATGTTCATGATTAAACCGTGCATGGTGCTTCTCTCTGCTGATTCATGTTTTTAATTCTGTACAGATTTGCAAAAGATATTCCTGAAATTAAGCAGGAATAAGTTTGCACTGATAACTGCTAGGACTAGTGTTACCTTACCACCTGTTGCTGAACAAAATACAAATCTGATTGAATAGTATTATTCGAACGAGCCCAATTTACCAGCTATCAAAGTGTTAAAGCAACTGGACTTGTTCATTTCAACAGCTTGTACTCTTTGCCTCCTTGAGAAAATCATTTAAAGACAAAGTACAGCTGCACATATCACAGAGTAACTCAAGCTTTTCTGATAAATATGTAAAGTAGGGATGTGGTGACTCCTCTGATAAGCCTTTATTGCCTGAATATGCCATGCTATTTTGAAACTGTCACCTTTCACTGAAATCATGACAGAAATAGCGCAACCTATGACTGGTTTTCCTCGTTCTGTGATTAACTCGAGTCGTGACTTACTATGTCCAGGTTCATCAAGTCAGCAGCAGTCGGGTGTTCAATGCTGAAGCATATCTGTTGTTCTACATCAGGTCTGCCGCTCCTCGACAACAGCAGACCAGCAAGGTACTGTCATCTCACTTCCTTACAGAGTCTTACAGTTCCCTGATTCTAGTGGGATTTAAACATACAAGACATTGCTCTTTTGTATTTCATGTGTATGTATTTTTGAGATGGTACTGTGTATTCAAGGGAAACAAGTTTCATGGTGTGATATATACTGTATCATGGTGTGTTAGAAATGTTAACATTTGAACTGACATAAGTCGATGAGATGTAGTTTTGGTATAGCTTCAAGCCATTCCATCTTATGAGGGGGGTGGGATAGCCTTGTGGTCAAAGAAAGCATTTGCTTCTCATGGCTACGTACCTGTTTGAAGTCTCCGCATGGGTACAAGCTCCTATTTTTTGGTGTCCATGCCATAATATAATAGTCCACTTGTATAGCGCCATTCCAGGATGAATATCTTGCTCAAAGCACTACTATTATTACCCCGGCTAACCCAAGCTGTGAGGCGCTAGAAGGTTATTAGGCACATGACTTATCCCACCAGGTACCCTTTTTCTGCTGAGTGAACAGAGGAAATTTTGAACAAACTCACTTGCCTAAGGTGACACCAAATGTGTCATGTGCACTTCGTTGTGGGGCAGGACTGACGTCCTAGAAACTCTAAGGAATCAAGCTGCCAAACATGGTCACCCATCCATGGACTCTCCGCGCTCAACACTGCTTAAGTTCAACTGATTTGTGAGCTGAGCTCTATGCACAGTACTACAAAGCACCCGTAATAATATTATTAACAACAGCATAGAAAACACAAGGTTGAAAGATTCTCTTCACTTAACCAGAGAAGCAACAGTAACTATGCAAATGCTCTTAATGTACAGTACTACATATTAGTCACATTTTTATTCCCCGAAACGGGTTTTGCGGGGGTCATTAAAATGGACTCTGTCCGTGCATCGTACCGTATGTCCGTGCACATTTGTCTTTTCCAGAGCAGAACTCTAAAACCGTTCAATATTTCTTCACCAAACTTGGCACATACATAGATCTGGTGGTGTACTGGTGCCTTTTGGTAGTTTTGGATTTCTGAATAAAATATTTTTGGCATTTCCATGGCAACAAGTTTGACTTAGACCGAAATTGGTGATAGTGCTCCTTTCTGGAGCAGAACTCTAAAAGCTTTCAATACTCTCCTTCCCCTTTTCTATAGACACACCTAAATATTTGACATAATCATAACTCGTAGACATAATCATGAAGAGTATTTTGTCATTGCGGGGGATATTGATGACTTTGTCTTCTTGTTATTTATCCTTCATAGATAAGTATTGAAGCTGTTTAGATTATTACCAAAACTGTGTTTCCTGCCTTCCAGACTGGTTTTATTGGCCCAACAATGCCAGCTAACCACACACTGAATAATCAGCAAAGATTCAAGACAGTCAATGGCACCCATGGAGGTATGTGTGGTAGATTAAGTGATTATGATCACAGTGATTGTGTCAACTAGTTTGGTAGTGGTTATGATCACAGTGATTGTGTCAACTACTTTCCTTGTGGTTGTGATTACAGCCTTTGCAGATGCATTACCCATCAGCTTAATTGGTGCCTTTTGCATTATGAATTCTTTCAAAGTTTTACATTGTTACGTTGCTCTTTTAAAAATATGGATTTAGTCTCTGGTGCCTTTCCGATCCCATACGTAATGCAAAGCTGACATGCTATGATGTTAAGAGCTGGTCAGATCCAACAACTGATTAAGTGCTTATTTAACTGTAAGATACAAACTTACTATGGTATCGTCAGTAAATACTTTTTCCATTATTCAGGCCAGTCAAGTACAGATATTGGAACCCCAGTCGCTAGGAAACAAAATATTACTTGTGCAAGCACGCCTGAACGAACACCAAAACTTGTGCCAAAACCAATGGGTACACCCTTGCCTGAAAAGCGTGATAAGGTTTCTTTTGGTATACGACCAACATTGGCCAAACCGTCTCACCCTCAAGAAGGGACTGGAGATGGTAAGCCTAGAATTGTTGTGCAGATCAAGAACGGGAAAGTGACAGCCTTGGAGAAATCTCCAGATGGCAAATCTAAAGTAGTTAATGGTGGTTCCAGAACCAAGTCTCAGCTTGTTCCATATGGAGAGGATTCCGATTCAGATCAGGAAAACAAAGCCAAACTGAATTTAAAGAAGACAGCTGAAACTATGGTGGATGAGAGTGTGCAGAAGGCCGAGGATGGCGATGGCATAGTGTTTGACAGCAAGCTGAATGCCACGACGTCAGTGCCAGGGAACTCTAAGCTGTTGGAGTCTGCTATTAAAAGGGAAACTGCTTTAGAGAAAGGAGAAATCACACCTAAATCAAACACCCATGACCTAACTTTAAAACTGAATAAATCACACAGTACTCCTGTGAAAAGGTCTTTCAGTGAAAGTAATTCTCTATCATGTGTTACGTCTCCTACTTCCAAAATTAATGCCACTTCCTCTTGGCATGTACAGAGTCAGGACACGGCTCCCAGTCCATCAGTGGGTAGTTGCTCCAGTACAAACAGTGTGAACTCCACCACAGAGTGGCATGTGATTGATAAGAGCGAGGCGCTGCAGTATGCCAAGGTCCCAGAGAGACAGCATGTGGGTTGGACGGTGATCCCTGAAGGGGGAGAGATGGGGGACGGGGACAACGGTGGCGGGATGGGACAAAGGGGAGAGTTGGTTCAAGTCAGTAACCATATAGGTGGTGATGGGGACATGTTAGATGACATTGAGAAGGACCACCAGATATGTGATACTGAACTTGAGAAGTGTTCTGTTCCTGAGGTGGGTACTGTTGACAGATTGAACCATGAGATTGAACACAAAAAGACAAATGGTGATCACTTGAATGACATTTTTGTCAATGGGAAGTCCTCAACTGCAAGTTCAAGCCCTTCCAGTTCAGCCATTGCAAATGGCAGCCATGTAGATGTGTCCGAGAAGCAGCATCTGCTGTCCGAGTCGGCTACACCTGATGTCCATGTACACAAAAAGCATAAGAAACATAAGAAACATAAAAAGAACCATGAGTATAAGTACCAGGAACTTATGAATGAGAGCAGCAGCTCTGCGGAGACATCAAGTAAAAAACACAAGAAGAAGAAAAAACACAAACACAAGCGAGACCGGGAGGATTCTGAGAAAGACAGGAAACATAAGCATCGGTCGAGTGATGAAGACAGCAAATCGAGGAAGAAACATCGAGAGACGGATGAGGTGGAGTATCAGTATGAATGGGTCGAGAAGACCAAGGACTCACTGCCGGCAGAGAATGGGGACTGCAAACAAAGTGTCAAAGAAGGTATGTTATTTACTGCATTTGTGGTTCTCTTGTGCAATAGGGGTGGTGGGGTAGCCTAGTGGTTAAAGCATTTCGCTTGTCACACCGAAGACCTTGGTTCAATTCCTCACATGGGTACAATGTGTGAAGCGCTGCCCATTTCTGGTATCCCCCACCGTGATATTGCTGGAATATTGCTAAAAACGGTGTGAAACCATACTCACTCACTTCTCTGAACTATATATCTTCATTCCAACAGTTCCCAGCCAGCCATGGGACTGGCATATGAAGGAAGGAGGGAAAAAGACCCAGGAAGGTGACAGCAAGATCAAGTGGACCTTCTGGGATGGGTCGAAGACGTCCAAAGTGGCATCTGAGCTGGAGAAGCAGTGCTCCAGTAGAGCGTACGGAGCTTCAGGTCAGTCCTGGGAGTGGCATGTCAACATTAGTGTAGCCCATAGACATTCTGGGGAGTAGTTCATCTCCAGTACTTGGAATTTTAGCTTCCAATCTGCAGCAAATGTCTGTTCAAATAATAATACGAAAGAGGTGATACGAGACTTGACTTTCCAAAATATTGCACCACCATGTCCTTGCATAAACACAAAAATGGAACTGTTAATATAGCATTTCATGTATTATATGCATGTAAAGGTACATTTTGTGGTACCTGTTCAATTTAGGAAAGTAACGTGAACAACTCTTGGCAAAATAAAAAAATATTTGGCCAAGATTTCAAGACTTAGATAACTGCCTGTAACAGTGATGTTTGTCTATTGCAGTATTGTCGTGGGAAGGAGAACAAAGTATACTAGACCAGCAAGCTGAGAGGGATAAAGAGCGGGACCGCAAACGATATTGGGACAAAGACGATGACGATGATGAGCTTGACAGGGGAAAAGTAAGGAGTGCTCTCTTGTACATTAAACTGAAACCAGTCTCACAGCCGAAGTGGTAATTTCCTGGAAGCATCACATAATCACACACAACTTTATTCAGGCCTAAACCAGGCTTCAGATATATCTCTAGGATTAGGATCCTCAGCTACAGCACAATACCAAGGCTCTGAGGTTCCTCTAAACTGGAAAACATATTAATGTACCACCTTTGTTTTCCTCCAATATTCTAACATATAAAGTAATGGTGAAACCAGTTAAAATGTGATGTGTTTGTTTCGTTCAGACAAAGAAGGTAAAGAAACTCCACCCTGAGCCGCTGTACCCTGTTGGCAACCCCTTCCAGCGGATGCAAGATGACAGAAATAAAGGCAAGGTATGACTAAATGGGTCACAGTTGGCACCTTGTCCCAGTTTATCAGCATGGATAGGGGATGTAGTGTTAAATAAAGTGTAGTTCTTGTGATGTGCTTATTTTTCATTTGATAAGGTTCATAAGCATATGAACTATTGAAAAACCAGAGTAGAATTGGTCTCCAGCAATGCATGCTTGTCGTGAAAGGCAACTGACACAGGGGTGGAAATAACTTTAAAATTACTAGTGTACTCCGGTACAGTGGCACATGTGAAATCACTGGCCCTGAAATTTTTCCACTATACGGCCGTTCTTGTGTTGAATTTTTTAAATAAACAACATAATTAACATTGGAAAGTCAACTGGACACCGGTACAGTGTGATATACAAATTTGCTTGCCCAACAGTAAAAAACACTGGACTCGGACAATGGGTTATTTCCACCCCTGTGACAGGATTGGGTGTTCAGGTTCACCAACTGTCTTGATGCTTCATATCCCGCATATGCAGATAGATGCTCATAATGGCAGACATTGGATTATCTGGTCCAGTTCACTGTAATATGGATGTTTGTTGTTTAACGCCACACTCAGCAATATTCCAGCTATATGTCGGCGATCTGTAAATAATCATTAACACCAGACAATCCAGTGATCATCAGTGTGAGCATCGATCTACCCAATTGGGACACGATGACATGTGTCAACCAAGTCAGCAAGCCTGACCACCCTATCCTAATCGTCGCCTCTTACGACAAGCATGGGTTGCTGAAGATCAAATCTTACCTGATGAATGACAAATTTAAACTAATTCTTTTTTCAGCAGATTGGTCTAGAAATGACAAACACTAATAATTGCAAGCTCCAAGGTTCAATATTCAATGACTGAGGATTCATGATTTATAGACCACTGTCATATAACTTGAATATTACTGAGTGCAGTAGTGTGTAATAAGCAAATATTTGAACCTGCATAACGTGACAATCAATTCCTAACATAATAGCCATATTAAGTGGTTTATGTCTGTGTTTATCACCGATTTCAGCACTTTTCCAGCTATGTGACGTCTGTGACGTGGGTCTGTAAATATGTCACAGTGAATTTAAACTCACATTTTAGTCATTTAGAATTTACTAATTGCTCAAAACTCATAATCCCCACAAGAATGACCCTTTGTGTTAGTGCCAAAGTGACAAATGTCTAAGACCTATGGCATATTGGACTTTCAGTGATTTGAAAATATTTAAAGCCAAATTGAGTATTGCTACTCCAATGAACTCTTCAAATTGACAATCAGTTCAGACTGTTCAGATATTTTGGTCATCATTTAGAATTTGCTGATTTGGGGTTCAAATCCGAGAATCCTCACAGCATCAGTGATAAATGTCAAAGACCCATGGCAAATTGGACTTTGCTTGATCCGTGAACTGGGACTCAGTGATTTGAAATTAATCTTTTGCGATACAGCTCACTCGTCACAAAGATTATCAAATGTCTCACCTTGTGGTCAATTAATATTTTGTTTTGTTGATAATCAAATAAATTTGACAATTTATGGATGGAGTCATGATTGACTTGGTCTGATTGCAGTCATGGTTTAACACAGACAATCGCCAACCTCACTCGCAGCATCGAAACTATGACCACCACGGCGATCATGCAGGCCGACACTACAGCCATTCATACAGTCGGGATCGTCACGCCTACAGACATTGATTCCTCCACGATGCTGCATGGATGTTGTGCAACTAACAGTTGAAAAGTTTTGTAGTGGCTACAAATGACATTGAGTGTTCAGGTTTTAGTCAAGTAGAAGTTGGTAATTCAGATTCTTTGACACTGCAATTATACTCTTTTTCTGTGCTCCATTCTTTGACTTGATGTATAAAGAATTGTGAAAATGATATGTGATAATATTTATCATGTGTCACAGTATTTATTGCAAAATGTTTGGTACTACTATTTTCAAATTTGAAATATTGGCATAACTAGCATGGTTGAGCAAACTTGAATTTTGACTCCGTGTTTGTGTTTGTATGTTTGCTATGCTGGGTACGATAAACAGGTATGTGTGTCTGTAAACCAAATATCTCAGCATTGTATTCCCTTGAATGAACAAAGATTTTGATGAAATTGTTACAAGGTGAGAAAACAGAAGGGATTGTTCATATGGCTGTGAACATTTCTAATGAGGCAATCCTTTTTTGTCACAAATCTAACAATGCACAGATTTGATTTTTTTATTTGTTACTTGCTGAAATAATGTGCATTTTAAATACTTCCATGTTCTGTTTGTGAACTTGTTTTTACCTTTTGATTTCAGATTCTTTTATAATTTGTTATATGTTTTACTCCAAACCTAAAAGTTAAAAACCCAGTGTAGCAAATGTATGTAAATGAAGATAAATGAGAATTATGTAACCCTTCCCTCTTTAAACCACCTGTATTTTTGTTTCATTTCATGTGTGTATTTGTCAACGATGTTGCGTTCCACATTTGTCTTGATGCTGAAGTTTTGTGTAGACAGAATATGTGAAGGCTGTCGTCACATGAAGCTGATTGCTGTAGTAGTCTACATGATGATGTTAGTCTCCAGTTAAAGTGGCATATAGGGGTTACGATACAGTACTTTCACATCAATCATCTTGATACACCAAAATACATATATAAACTATAAAGTTCGTAATATCTTTGTTTGGTCACCTTACACTTACGGTGTTATCTTATTGCAAGGGCTTTTGTGTTTGATGCTCAACCATTCTGTACAGGTTTTAAACTAAAATTTCTTCAGAACCTCTGGGCTGATCAGCATTATCAGTTTTTTAATTTTTCTGCTTTAGGTTTTTCATTTTGAAAGACACATGGGCACCTCATCAGCATCACCATTTGAGGTGTGTTAATGTACTAATAAAAGATGAAATCCCCCTTTCCTTTGCTGTAGGATAACCGTAATGCATTATGCATTAATCAGCCGAACCACATTAAATTCAACTGATTTTGTTGTCATAACGACACACAGAAACAATATCATCAGTACCAATATACATGTACATGAAACAGTTACAACACATGGTTTTCTCATCACTACCAAGAATGTCGCATAAACATTAGGAAAGTGTCCCATCGGAAATTAATGCCAGATACTATTTTGAAAACTTTATAATTTACATAGAAATGTTTAAGAGTACTGCATGTTTTTTTTTGTTGTACAAACGAATGCTGTGTTGCCGTATCGTTTCACCTTATGCCACTGATTGCTGTACAGTTTGATGTTAGCATTCATCACTTGTCCCCTTGTTTGTGATATTAGTCAGCATTTGTAGTCGGGAGAGCATCAGCTTCTGTCAAAATGGATCCTTGCCTAGCTTGTGAGTGATACTGCTTTGATTGGACTTTGTGTCGATCAGACAAACATTTTTACTTGGTTGGAATCTGGGTTTTGTTACATTCTTAAATTCATTGGTGAGCAGAAAGCATAGGGATGCAGTGGTCTAAGGTGCTATATATAACCTGCTGCACAGGGTTGTGTCCCTTTGTTGCTGGGATCTGCTGGCCATGTGTTTGAATACAAGTTAGCTCATATCATGATCCCTAGACTGAAGGTTCCATAGTGGGTTTTACCAAAACCCTAAAGGTCATGGAAATGAATTGGCCATCAAATAAGTACAAAGGCTCTTAACTAGGCACACAATTTTAGTGGTCCTTTTCATAAGTCTAATGTTAAAAATTCAGAATTTTTTAGGTCCTGTTTACTCCTTCAAAGAACCAACTTTCACGTCCTCAAAATGTCTTAAACAGACCTGTAGTTGAAAATACATGTAATTTGCTTGAAGTACACATGTAGAGACTTGAAACTTGTTTTGTTTTTGACTTTGACCAGGAGATCACAACATAATCCTCTGACAAAAAGCGGTTTCATGTTTCATGGTTATTATCTCGAGATGACAATCCTGGATATCTACTTAATTAGAGAGTGCAATTTTCTGACTCTCACAAGACTTTTATAGATTTGTGAATTGTATGTTGGGATGAAATCTTTTCCAGAATTCAGAAGCATTTGTATATACTACTGAAATTGTGATTGTGGAATTGAATTATGAAATTGTCTGTCACCACAGACATCTACAGAGAACATCAGTTGGCAACAGGAACAGTGCTTAAGACATGTTTCATTTGGTAGTGCCAAGCCCCAGTTATGATTCTCAGTCTGTCCACACCATGCCCTTACTTGTTTCAAGGAAGTGGTTGCTATATATGACATTTGAGGCAAAGATGAAGTTAACAGCAGCTGTGATGGTGAAGAACATAGTACCAAAGATATACTTCTAAAAAATGGTTAAAGAACACCTTTTTTTCATGTAGCTACAGTCATTGCATGACTTAACGAGTCATTGAAAACATGGGTGTTCTGAACTACTCCTGAGTTATATATATTCTCATTAATTGCAGCATTTATTTTTTTCCAATCTAAAGTTTATGGTTCCTCCAAAACACCGCACAGGTCACTGTGATAATATGATTGCAAAGACAAGTAATTTTATCTTCGCATATCTGACAATCTTTTTACTTTATTGGTACATATGGAAAGTACATGAGGTTCTTCAGGCAGGGTTCATACAGATTGCTTTGTCTAGTAACATGATTCAAACTTATACAGAAAAAGATTATACATGACTATTAACCGCAATAGTAGGCTTTAACTCAACAATGCTAGTCAACATGTAGTTTAAAGTTAAATACTCTGTTTGGACCGGCTCATCTTTAAATATTGGTATGGAAATTCCAAACCTTTATGAATTCTGTTTCATGTGTGCATGCTTTAATACCAGAACTTCCTCCAGTGTATAATAAGAAAGTAGTGCTGACCTCGTGATTAGTGCAGATATGCATGTTTATTGGCTAGGTATTAGGCTGTTCTGTCTCATTAAAATAGTGGTCTAAGTTCCCCTACTAAGGTGTGCTGCTAGGGGTTCCAGGTGTAATCCTTGGTTTGTCATCACACTGTGCTTGTGTGGTAGATGTCTACATGTCTATCCTCCCATGGGTTGCAAGAATGGTGTGGAATACTGTGCAACAACTCTTTGAATCCCAACTCTCACAGTTGGTTGCCACCTGTGTTGCAGTAGGCTTGTAGGATGGCTGGCATTCTCTCAAATATTCCTAATCACACTCATTGTGGACTTCTACCAATATCCACAAATACTTGACCCTTCAGTTCTCTGCAGATTCACCATGAGTAAGATGCCTTGGCCTGCACATTATCTGTGCTTGCTGGTTCTACCAAAGTGATAAACGTCCATGACTTGATTCCCTTTTGGTTGTCCTCTACAAGGTGATACATGTACTTGATGAAGAAGGGTTCAGACCTAGATGGTTCCTACTCTCATTCTTGCCTGCAAGCTCCTTGTGGACTGGGAAAAGCTGATTCCTCCTCAAACTAATCATCACAAGACCTGCATCTCATTGGGCTTTCCCTTTTCTAACATGCCATGCATGTAACTGAAATACTGTTGAAAGCAGTGTTAGGCCCAGCTCTCACACATCACAGGTCTGTCTGGTCCAGACTTGACTATTGGTTAACAGGTTAGCTTTGATCTGATTGGTTTTGATTACTAGTATGGTTGATGTGACCCCTTCTGTATCCTCGAGTCAACACTCTCCACTGTTGTAATTCTACCATGAAAGATTCATGACTTTTTTCCAACATTTTTTCAATTCTATCAACTTGATCATGTTTAAGCCCACTATCTTCAGGAGCGTAGGAACGGTTTTCAGAGGGGGGGGGGGCTAATTTATGAAAAGTATTGAAAATGAAAATGAAATTGTAGTTATGGTAAGGTAGATATGGTTTCATCTTGTAAAAAGTGGGGGGCTAAGCCCCCCCTGTTCCTACGCCCCTGATCTTTAATGGATAATCTGCCAGTTTTTACACATGAGCATGCTATCCACACAAAGATTGATGTGGGCAGCAAGAGGTAGAATCGGTCTCAAAAGCCAAATGTTTAAGCCAAATGTGCCCTGTACCTTTTGCTGAAGTAGGCAACAGCTACTGACAATGGCTGGAGAGTGCCGTCTGCCACCATGACGTTAGCAGGAACACAATAAATGTCAGTGTCTTGATGCTGCCCCTTCATTAGAGAGCAGTTCAAACATTCATTTTCTGAAAAGGGATATATTTGATGATTAGATGTCTTTTTTTTTTAATCTGGATGAAAATCACCTGAGTAGTAGAATTTGTCAGATGGAAGTCTTGCAGACCTGATATATACTGACAGAGAACTGTTGTTGCTCCCTAATCTGGGCTGGGTTTAATTACTTCTTTGGCAGCCCTGGTAGAGCTGTTATATCACCAGTAAGACGTTAAACCCATTCTAATCATGAGACTGAAACTGGCTTTGGGGTATTATTGTTTTCAACAGTTCTGCGATTTCATGTCTTTGTAATTATGGTTTGGTCATGAGGGTGCCGTTATACCCATATCCCATCAGAAGTTTTTCCTACTACTGGTGATTATATTTGCCCGAAGTCACTTACTCCTTTTCCCTGTGACTTTATTGTCAAGAACATATTTTTCATATACAATGTGTATATGCAAGCTGTCATTTACAGCGATTGTTTGTGGGAAGTTGATAACATTAAGTACAAAATGCAACATATCATATATAGAATTCTGCTCAAGTTGAGTAGAGCTCTCCTCTCAGAAGTTAATTGTAAGTTTTGTCTTACACAAAATGTTTGAGGTATATTGACAATGTACTGGTTCCAATCAAAATTATCACCATTGCTTCCATACAGTATTATAAAGACTATTATGCTATTATAAGCTACCTACCATTTGCATGAACATTGAATCTAAAACACGAGTCTTGGCTGAAAGCTTTGAAAGGGCTAGAAAAGCTACTGTTTAAAAACAGACCCTGTACCAGGGGTGAAGGCTAGTTAGATGCGATTACCAACCCTTGTCATATATCCCTAGAGGAATGTTGTATACGCTCTTCTCCTGCACTAACCAATTGTGTACCAGTATCTGGATTGTCAAGTGTTTTGAGTATAATGTAGCAGTTTGGCTGGACATCCGTCCTGGAGTAAACTGTTGATGTGTACATTTCTCAGTTTGTGTCAATGGTGAGTACCAATCATGTGATGTAGATATGCAAGGGCATATTTCACTCACTGTATGTATTAAATTAAATATTCTAAATCATGACATGCTTGTGTTGTCTTCTTTTATGAGCTCTCTTCGTTCACACACTGCTGGGTTTGAGAAGAAAAAACCCCAAAGAAGCCTTTTTACCACTTACACCAATGGTGAATTTTTCTGATGCACAATTGAGTGACATGGACTTTCAAAGTCACTCTGTATGAACTGGACACAAGACAAGCTATTGATCACATAAACTTAAGTTTAATTCACTTTTGATTGTACTCCAGTCCGTAGTGTTAGGTTGGAGGAAAGCCCACCAGAGTGTGGTCTACATCTTTCATTACATTTTTGTTTGCTTAGTCTATGAGAAACTGACGCACAATACGACCATTATGTGCAGTCCAAGTATAAGTATAAGTCGAGTGTAAAAAATACTGAGACTTCCATATCTCCACCAAGTTGGTCTTCAAGTAGTGCAAGTGAAAACAAAAAACACAATTTTTAAGTTGTAATTTCATTGAAGACGTTGCATATTTCACAATACATATATCAAATAAAAGTGGTATATCATAGCACATTATTCCCTATATTAAACAATGTAATAATTACAGACTGGTGCAGACCTACCTACAAGGTTACTTTAAGGGTAACTCTACAAAATTCCTTTTTTGTGATGGTTGCTGTCCTGTATCTCAAAGACCTAAGAACATGCCTACTAGATTGCTACATCGTTGCTACTAGGTCCAATACACCTTGTTCCTCCATCACCAATGAATCCATAGGACCACGCTAGTGCAGTGATAACAAACATCAAACTTTATTGGCTAATGAGGTCATGTGTAACTGACAAGTTAAAATGAGCCAGGGCTGTGCATGGCCTTTGTGTAAACCCGGACATTGCTTTACATATGTCGATGAGTGAGTGTGGTCAATCAATATTCCTGCAATATCATGGCAGGGGACACGAGAAATGGGCTTCACACATTTTGCCCATGTGGGGAATCGAACCCGGGTTTTCGGTGTGACGAGCAAATGCTTTAACCACTGGGCTACCCCAGCACCCCAATCAAGAAACAATGCTATGTAAACAATGACCTCTGCTGCCCTCCCTACATCTGAAACCAGGCAGTTGTTGGTTCAAATAAACTGACTGTGTCGTAGCTGCATGTATTCACTGAACAATGGAGGAACATACTGTGTATAAACCCATGAAGTATTGACAATGGACTGCAATATAACCAATATTTGATTAATAACAAGGATCAGAACCTAGTTTTGCCTCTTTTCATATTTGTTTAATTCAAAGGATGAAAAATTTAATTCTGGCACATCATTTTCTAGTTTGAAGATGCATATCCAGTGACCAGTTTACACTAATATCAATGTGAGATCCTATGCAACATACCTCGACTGCTCTTATCATAAAATATCATTAATGATATATTTGTAGGCAAACCTTTTTACCAGCAATTTGAGGATGTACAGCCAGACCATTTACACTAAATATAAGGTGCTGAAAATAATCATTTCTAGATATTCATTTACTGAAAGATGTATGTACAAAAGCATGTAAGGAATTATGAGTGCTATAAACTGGATTTTGTTTTCACAACAGACAAAAAAGTAATTATTTTCCTTCTCAGTCCTAATAAAGAATTATTTCTAAAGATTTGAGCTTGGTGAGTCCATACAGATGACTTGCCACCCTCCACTATTCCCCTGTGGCTACAAGACCAACTCTGGGACCAAAACAGGCACAGTTTGCATTCCACATAGATCAGAGGACAATTAAACAAGTATGTATGTGAAATTTTATATATACATGTCTCAATAGTGCAGGTACAGTCGTCAAGAAAGTTACAATAAAGTTTAACATTCCAGTTTCAAGATATGCATGCACCAAAATGAATACAGCTTATTATTTAGAAGGTGTCAAATGTTTTGATAATACACACTTTATATGATGTCTTCAAGTCATTAAAGTTACCTTTGAAATTGGACCTTTCATAAATACAATGCATCAGTATTAATGCCTGGCATATACATCACTTGGGCATAAAAACTGTTGTGGTTCTGACAGAATGAAGGCAAAGGCTTCCAAGAACTTAATCATCACTATGCTACAAATGTGGGTTTCAGATTACATCTTTCATATACATATGGAAACAAAGGCACACATACAGAAGAAGTCATTAGTTTTAAATGAATTTCGCATGCTTGTAGAAGCTCTAAGGGTATCAGGAATTAGCTGTTTTGACAAGTCAAATACTAACAATTCCCTTTGTTTTGTTCAAATCAGGAATCAAATTGAATCCAACATATTAATTTCTCCTGCAATGTTCTTTATTCTATCTTCATTGGTATATGTATACCTTTATTTCCTTATATTGAAAACGTCCATGTATCTTTTGGAAATACTATCATACCAGTATGACTTTAACCTCAACATCTAAGACACTATGATGACATGATTCCTCTGCTAGGACTTGGTCACAGTGCCAAGAAGCAAATGGAAGGGAAGTCAAAAAATATTGTCATGGAAAACCTACAAAACATGTCACCTGATAATCAATGTTGTTTTCTGTAGTTCAAAATGAGTGTCACTTTGTAACGGAAAAAAGTTTTGTCAGACACAATCGTAGCTAGACAGGACTTCTAAAGTAGTGGTGCTTAACTTCCTTCCAGGTGTATATGTCATAACAAAGTAGCACTATTTTCTTGTTACTTGAGAACCATTATGTGAGTACTTGTGTGGTGAGAATGATTTCCCATGTGGGAAGGAAACCCAAAGAGATGTATGTCGTAGACACTTATCACTTTGGTGAAATCACCGAGCACAGACATGGTGTTGACAAACTAATACGAGCAACTTATGAGATCAGACTGTTACAACGGGAGAAAGAATCATTACGGTGGGCCTGGCCAAATAATCAGAACCACAACAGCTTTAGTGCCAGGCTGCAACTGATTGGGGCAACAACGTATTGTGAGATGAGATGCAGTGAAGCAGCTTATGGGTATGACCATGCATCTACAGACTGGATTGAGTACTTGGGTATACTTCATAACATTAACTGAATCATACAGAACAATTCGTGAGTCGCCATACAACAGGTCGTCAAGACTTGCTTGACTTCTTCGCTGCTTCCCTCGCTGAAAAAGTAAAGGAAGTTGAGTTAATACTTTGGGGTTCATATCTATTAACATGCATACAGAATGTACCACACATTTTAAAAAGCATTTTAGACATTTGACAGTTTTTAAGTCACCATTTCTAAAAGGGAAGGTCAACATAGCTATTATTGAGTTTGTGAGTGTGATATGGAGTCAAATTTCACACTCAATGGAGCCTTTTTACCATGTTGAAGAGTAAGTGCTCATTTGCTCAGACCTATGGCTAGATCTTGTTGCTAATAGTACTTCAATTATCTATCTATACCCATACATTTCAGCTATTCGAATGTACAAAATATATTTGACTGAACCAACCTATTCTTTCGTCCTCTTTCTTCTTGGCTGCTTCTTCTCTCTGTTTTCTAATGAGGGCAAGTCGAGCAAGATCTGCACGCGCCTCCTCTGTCTTCCCCTCTTCATGCAGTTGCTGATACCGTCGGGCAGCTTCCTGTTTCTCCAGTTCCTCCCTGACAGCACACAGTGAGGAATCAACAGTCAGCATATAACAGCTATATACAGGGATTTACAGGATGCGAATTCCTGTGTCCTATACGCATAAAAATTTATTAGAGCATCCACAGGGACGCAGAAAAAGTCCAAATACTTTTTGTAAAAATTCCAATCGAGTGACAATAAGTTATCACTGAAAATTAAGAGTATGAGTCCCAGGGACCCTCAAATACAGGACTCAAGGTAAATCCCTGTATATAACCAGACATGGGAGCAGTTGGTGCCAGACAAGCAAACTGTTACAGTACAATGACAGTCAAAAACACACTCAACGGCTCTAACAGTAAAAGAGGGAACGCTGTGCACCAGTCAGCAAAACTCCAGCTATAGTATATCACATGTCCCCATGAACAACCCTGTCTGGACCGGACAAACAAGTGAGTTTAGTTTTACGCTGCTTTTAGCAATATTCCAGCAATATCAGGGCAGGAGACACCAGAAATAGGCTCCATACATTGTACCCATGTGGGTAATTAAACCCAGGTCTTCAGCGTGACGAGCAACACTTTAACCACCAGGCTACCCTACCACCCCCTACCCCACAAACAAGTGAGTGACAGAAGGAGCAACAATGAAACTGCTGGGTGAAGTCACATACCCTGACCACTGAATTTCCACCAGAGTCTTAAGACAAATATGAGCCAATGTTAATTATGGAGAGCAGCATCACCATAACCTTTTCAATAATTATTACTTACTATGTAAAACAGGTGGTTTGATTGGCTTTTGTCACTTTTTGTTTTATAAAGAATCTTATGTTTGGCTCAAGCCAACATGAACAAAACTTTCTATAGGCATGAAAAAGAAAACCTCATGAAAGTGTAAAGCATCCAAATATGCCACTGAACGTTTTGCTTAAAAAGGGAAGAGAAAAAGACAATCACTCTTGCAATGGAAGAGTCAGACTAAAAAAAAAAAGCCTTTCCTATTAATTAATTTGGAAATCAGCCAAGCTCAGACCTGTTTACCGGCAACTTGTCATGCCAGTAGTTCACTAAGAATCTGTCAGTAGTAAACAAAAACAAAACAAATTCCGCTGAAAGTTGTCACTATGAAATGTAACCTTAAGGCACCCCAATTGCCAATGACTTGAGTATTTAGGCATGTTTCAATTTTGCAATTACTGCTTTAATTATTTTGGCAATCACTCTGTACATAATGTCCAGTAGTTAAGTCAGACAGTTACGTTACATCATTTACTTCCTACAAAAACCACTGACGAATGCAATGAATTCCTTACCGTTCTCTCCTTGACAGCTGGGTTGAAGCTTTTGAATCTAATTCTGTAACTTTTCGTGCCGTCCTGTTTCCTGTTCGGTTTGGATTGTGAATCTCTATCAAATGTTCTACACCCTTGGGACGAGCCTCCTGTAATAAGGAATTAATTTGGTCATGACACAAAGGAATTCTTCCTTAATACAAAGCTTAAAGTAACCATCAAAGAATCATCATATTTGCAAATAACAGTACATTACAGTAACCTCTAAATTGGATTGAACAAAATGTTATGTAAACACACAAGAATGGAATATTTTGATAAGAACTAACAACTGGGAATGTGAAATGACAACAGGGCAGAAATATGAATGCCAATGGACTAGTGAGTGAGTAAGTAAGGTTTTACGATGCTTTTAGCAATATTCCAGCAATATCACAGGGAGCCAATGGACAAGTAATGGGAACTGACAAAGGGGTAGAAACAGCAGAAGACCAAATAATAGTTCCACACAATGGAATGTCACCTGACTAGGGCTGTTGGTAACAGTATTTTATACACACCTCTCCATCTGACGAATCCTCTTCACTCGATGAATTTGGTGGCAATTCCCCAACAGCACCTCGTTTGTTTACTTCTTCTGGTTCATTTTCATCATCACTATCTTCTATGCCCTTCTTTTTCTGGAAAATCAGAGAATGTTGTGCAATGTAAACGTATAATCAAAAGCTAACATGGTGACAGATATGTCAATTTTCAGAACAGAGCCATTCTAATTAGAGTAATCTGAAGAACTTGACCATATAACCCAAAGGAGGAGGCTATCTTTCTAAATTAAAATGAACCTCACAACATATAATTTTTTTCAAAACAAACAGTTCTCATTCAGTTTCTGCACAGCCAAAATTCTTTACCTTTCTGAAATTTTGGTCCTGACAAATGAAAACTGCACAAAACTGCACTAATGTGTAGAACTACCTACAGAATGTAGATGCTACTGTGCTAAGAGAAACAAAACAAGTTGCAAAGATTCTTGATCGTTATTATTCTCCATATGGAACTGACCATTGGACTGACTGACTGATTTTGGTTTTACGTTGCTTTTAGCAATATTCCAGCAACATCACGGCTGGGGACACCAGAAATGGGCTTCACACATTGTACCGATGTGGGGATTCGAACCTGGGTCTTCGGCGTGATGACTGATCAGTGGAGACACAGAAATCAGATATGTATGGTTTCATGCTCTGCCCACCAAGAATATTGAAGTCTCCATGTTGAATTACTGATAAGAAATTCATCTGGAGGAAATCATCAGACTTCAATGTTTTTTGTTATTTAATGCCGCATGCAGCAATATTCAAGCCATATGGCGGCAGTCTGTATATAAATGACCACCCGATCCCGTTAGTCGGCTCTTACGACAAGCATGGGTTACTGAAGACCAATTATAACCCAGACCTTCATGGATCCAGACCTTGTTAGGAGTCTTTTCACAGTTGTAGGAAGTGATTTTATTAACATAGAGATAGATTCTAATGTGATTTCCTCAAAACATCAGTATTTTGCTCTTTGACAATTTAAATATGGCCCTGTTGCCAAAGTATGTGTCCGAGTATTGTTTTTTTAATAACATTGCAAAAAATAGTTCATAATTTTAAATCTGGGGATAATATATGGTCAACTGAAATGTAATAATTGTTTAAGACATTGTAAAAAGTGATAGATTTAATATATTAATCATGTCATTTTGATGTGACTACACCCTGGCCAGTTAATTGTCCTGCTGTGTCTGAGGACTCATGATGTCATGACTGATTGTTTGGCCTGCATTGTTGAATGGGTTTATGAGACTGCATACCATCCTATAAACTAGGTATGGAATAATTGTCATTCCAACTCACTCTCCATTCTCTGGCTTTTGCGTCTTTCTCATCCTGTTGCTCCATCTCACGAGGATCGGTGAAGTGGCGACTTTTGCCTTTGTGGTTCTTTTTGCCACCACGGCCGCCGCCTCCTTTGCCTAATAAGTTTAACAAACATTTCTGTTAAACATCACTTTGATCAAGTAAAAAAATATGTGAGTGTGAAATTGTGTTGGGTTGTATGCCACTCATAGCATCACTGAAGTAATATAACAGCTGGGAACACCAAGAATGATCTACTGTTAATCAAATTGTCCTGGTTAGAAACAGAACCATGTAAACAGTGACAGATTTTGTGTACCAATCTGAGGAATATCGCAGACTGCCATTACACCCATAAAGACTATTCTGGTTAGGGTGAGTTGAGTTTCAAAAACTTGAATTTCTCTCCAGGAAATTGTGTCCTTCTTAATTTATGTCAAATGAATATTCACTGCTTTACTGAGACCAATAAAAAAGATATACAATTGATGTGTTAAATTTCACTCACAAGACATGAACCAAACTGCAGTTAACTGAATCTGACTTGCACAACAAAACGAAATCCATTAGAAAAAGTGACATATTTACAGATGGCATTTGCATGATTTGAACACAGAGAGTAACTGGTAATTACACTTCATTACCAAAAACGTAACAGGCAAACTTCTATGAATTTTCAACTTTATCTTTAATTTAAAAAACTCTGGGTTTGGTTGATCACATGCGTTCTAGAGCCACAGCTCCACGTTTTCACGTTTACCATTTGGTAACTCATACGAGGAAAAACGTTAGGTACAACGATTCTATATCTAAATCTTTACAAAGAGAAATATGTAAAGAAAAGGAAAGACTATCGTGGCGTAACGTGTACCTCTTGGCATTGTTCTTATTTCTTAAAAATATTGCAGGACTTCTGAGTCAACAAGCACCCTTAGTGGCGGAAGAACTACTGCGCCATCTACGGGGATCATAAGTTATTTGGATAAAGTATTTTATGGCGTGACGTGTTTTAGTGATATATCCTGAGAAATAGACGAAAGAAACGTATAATTTAGTATATTGTACATCAATTGTGAAAAATAGTGACATTTCACTTCTATTTAATTCTGAGAAGCAAGCTCCTCTAATAATATATTTTTAAATTATCAATTTCTCCCTTCTCACGGGGAAATGCGAAGTTTGCCGATTGCAGTTTCTCTCGTAATTCCGCGAGACTTTACGGCTTTACTGGCAGATTTCATCGTACTGAAAACAACGTTTAGGTCAACATGCCAAAAGTAAAGAGGAGCAGGAAACCCCCTCCAGATGGATGGGAACTCATCGAGCCTACTTTGGATGAACTTGATCAGAAAATGCGCGAGGGTAAATATCACTAATATCCATGATTATCCCAGTTTAATGTTTGATTTTTGAAACTGTCCTGTTTTCGATCGTTCAAATTGTTACACTACACAGTCATTCTCAGTTAAGTTGTACAAATTGCTGTCGGACTGGTTACAACCCCCGCTATCCCTAAAGTGAAACTGATTTTCATATGAAATCGACAGTATTCAATAGTCAAATGCAATAGAAGTATATGGTAAACTACAATACCCAGATAGCATTCGGACGTTGGGCCAACGTCTGAATGCTATCTGGGATAGTCATAAACATTTGAGAAAATATTTGAAACTGACTGTTCCTTTACAATTGGTTATGATTTTCTAGCTGTCGGTGAAAGATATTGCCGTCAATGATTCCTTTCTAGAAAATAATCCAAAGACAAGTCAATGTTATAAACCAGCATAATAAATTCAAAGTGAGCTTTTATATTTAAGAACATAAAAATCAAGGATGAGAAAGAAACAGAAAGACAATATTTTGTTTCAATTTTGTCGGTAGAAGTAACGTAATTCACGTTGTGCTAACTGGTGTACATCACAGGGGCTTGTAACACTAAAAACTGCCATCAAGGTATGTACTATCACTGATGGGGTCTTAGCACTATTATATAAGGAAAGGGATGTAACGAGGTCAACACACCAAGTTCGTTTCAGGGCGAATTCAACAATGCTCACTGTATTTATCCAATTTAAAGTATGCACACATATCAAGCCTATAGATTTACCTACAAAATGGGACATACTGCACAAAAATCGAAGCAGTACTTTAGGAGCTAGGGTCTTCGGAAGCTTGAAAAAGATCGTGATTTCTCGATTCTGAGCCAAAATCCCTGCTCTCAATTTGTAGCGGTAACTCACCCATTTTCTTGTTTATTTTACAGTATACACAAACAACATTCACTAAAACATGTTGAACTGATGGCACCTGTCAGCGAGCTAGTTGCCATTCTTTCAGAGACACTTACATTTCACTGTCATAATGAGTTTACGTATATTTATTCATCGCAAACAGAATTGTGTCGTACCCATTCGCCATTGACGACCTTGGCCTTAACCTGCCCCGCACTGAAAATAGTCAGCGATCTGATGGGACATATTTTATTTATAGCCAATGAGCTCCATTGCTCTTTTAAGTGCTTAAAAATGTAATTTGAGGAAAATCTGAACAGTTCTTATCACCTTTTGAGTTGTGTTGAGACAATGGCAATTGTTTACATTGAGAAAAGTAAACCACATGGGACTGATGATGTGTTTAAAGAGCACTATTTTCTGTGTAAAGTTTGGCTAATTAGTTTGGCTCATATTGAAATAAAAAAAGTGACAGGCTTTTGCAAAATGCTGAAATGTGTGTCCAATATGCAGTTGTACACAATGAATGCAGAAAAAAATACACATACCTGGATTGCTTCCAAAGAGACATACAATGATATTTACTTTACCAAATTCTTCACAAGAAATATGAAAATCATGTGATTGAAATAATCACATTTTTATTACCTTAGGTGAACCTCATATTTCCAATAGAGACATTTGAAATTAAAGTACTGTCGGAAATAGAAAAAAACTGGGTTTGTTTCTTCACATTTATATCCAGAATTTATGTAGGTTATATGTGAAAGTGTGAAATATCTGTTCAATTAAGTTCGAGCTAACTACAGTCTCAGTGGTAGGGAGATAAGAAATGTGAAAAAAGGACTTTACTGAGGAGAGATTGGTACAGAAATGACCAATGTTTTTTTGTGTCCAACTCGACTTATTTGGAACAGACCTTGGCTTTATGCAAATTAGTGTGTGATGATATTGTATTACAAAGGACACTTTTTAAATGCTCATTTTGAAATTTGACTTAACTTCATTATAAACGATAGCTGACATACAAAATAAATTTTAATTTGTGAAACTCTTAAGGATGTAGACCAGTGAAGGTCCGGGTTAGAATATTGATCTTCAGTAACCCATGCTTGTCGTAAGAGGCGACTAACGGGATCGGGTGGTCAGGCTCACTGACTTGGTTGGCACGCGTCATCGGTTCCCAATTGCGCAGATCAATGCTCATGCTGTTGATCACTGGATTGTCGGGTCCAGACTCGATTATTTACAGACTGCCACCATATAGCTGGAATATTGCTGAGTGCGGCGTAAAACTAAACTCACTCACTCACTTAAGGATGTAGCTACCATGGACTATCACTATAAAAACAAACAGGTAGGAGGGATCGTCTCAAAAGCAAAACCAGGTCAGGTGTTGCAGATGGTGGTTGGGGTTGGGTTGATTGATAGAGATATCAGCAAAGATAAGATAATCCTTCAGGGGAATTAAACTGGGCAAGTAACAATTTACAAATTATATCCAGTCCTGTCGATCTTCAGGTGGCCATGCTACCTATATATTTTAAGACATTTAATATGATGGCAGATTTAAGCCTTTCTATGGGCATCACACTGTTTTACATATCTCAACATAAACTTTATGAGACATGTCAGATGTTAATCAATATATGAGACATACTCAACACACAAGAAAACGCATAGAATATCTTTGAGAAGACCCCTTGTGCCTGTACATGTGCATTACTTGCCAGGTGAGTCAATGGTCCGTCGTCATACCTGGCTGAGCGACCTAAGTGTCATCTATAGTCTGATCTATTGTTTTCAGCAGCTATTCATATTTTTTCTAAGTTTTGCCCAATTTTAGGAATAAACATGCTTTTCTGGATACGCTATTGTGCATCCCACTGAACGCCCAGTTAGGCCAATGTGGGTTATTTCAAAATATGCTATTTGCAACTGTGTAAATTTTAGGGACACAAAGTAACAGCCAAAAAAAAGTTTTTTCTATTTCTGACAGTACTTTAATCAGCGCAGTCCCTTCGACTCCCAGTTTTGTTAGTCAAGGTACTAAAACCCTAAGTGTGAATGGTAAATGTGGGGCCTTTGCTTGCAGGAAAACAAGGTGGTTGTGCTTTTGTTTCAGTAATGCAAGTCATGTTTTGCAAACTGATGGGTGATGTGTGACTGCATCCTTGGTAAATTATTAGTTTAGTAACTCATAGCTTCACATTATGACATGACTTCATTCTTCACATCCACCTAATTGGAATCCATAAACGTTTATTCAAACAAGTGCCTAACAACAACAGAATGAGTAAAGTGTTGCAATTTTTGTGAATGCTTTATTGAGTCATGTTTATTTCTTAGCTGAAACAGAGCCACATGAGGGAAAGAGGAAGGTGGAGGCACTGTGGCCTATATTTCGCATCCATCACCAGAAGTCACGATATCTGTATGATCTTTTCTACAGGAGAAAAGCTATCAGTAGAGGTGAGACTTATTCATATAGATTAGCATCTCCAACATCAGATGATTCGAATCATGATAATGGTGTACCTGTAATTGCTGACTTCTGAAGTGACAAAGGGGGTGGGGTGGGTTGCACACCCCTGCAACCCCCTTCTGGATCCGCGTATGCTGTTGATCTCTCGATTGATCACTGGAATCGAGATTCGATTATTTACAGACTGGCGCCATATTGCTGGAATATTGCTGAATGAGGCATTAAACAAAAAATAAATGAAAACAAAATGAGGCCTAAAAAAATGTTGTGGTTCCAATTACCCGACCGACCCTTGAATTCTGGTGCTGACCCTAGATTTTTTAGAGGTATGAATAAAATAAGCTTTCAGATATCATTGTTTTTTCCTGGCACCAACGGACATTGGTCATTCTGATAAAGAAAGTCAACATGATGTCCGCAAGCTTGATTGAATAAACAATGAATTACACATTGATGAATTATTAGTTCATACTTTACTTCTAACAAAAATGTAAAAATATGTAAAAAATTCCTACCTATCTACCCTAAATTTTAAAGAGGTGTAATCGGAACCACAACATGTTTTGTTTGTTTGGCCTGATTGCCATTGCTCGTGAGGCAGTACTGATAAGTAGAGGGTGTAACATGTCATTTGTCACTATTACTGTCTGACCATGGGCAACAGAATTTTGTTGATATCAGCAACGTCTGGAACTTCCAATTTCCAAGAAATATCATTGTAGGTACATTGTAGGTATATAAGTGACGATTCAAATGACATAATTTGAGCCACCGACTGGTCACTATGTTAACTGACAATAGTAATTAGGTAACTGTTTTGACAACTAAGCAAAGACTTTGTTATGTTCCAGAACTGTACGAGTACTGCCTGAAGGAGGGGATAGCAGACAAGAACCTGATAGCCAAGTGGAAGAAACAAGGTTATGAGAACTTGTGCTGCCTCCGCTGTATCCAAGTCCGCGACACCAACTTTGCTACCAACTGTATCTGCAGAGTACCTAAAGGAAAGCTTGAAACTGTAAGTGTTTTTACATCTTTGGGTGCGTGAAGTGTTTCAAGAGAACCTTGGCCACAGTTATACGTTGCTTCATTATGATCTATACCATTGATGTTCTCATGATCAATTCTGATAATTGAAAGTAATCTAAGAACAAAGGTTTTGTGGGTCTTGCATGTCCCAGGGATGAAAAGTGCCATAGTCAAATACAGAGTTGTGTCCCTTAGATGTGCCAGGATTGTTGGTCATAGGGATCAAAGCATAGATTTACCTTGATGTTGATTTTTGGTCTGTCACAGGTGTGCAATTTTAGCCACGAGTCCAACGGCTGAGTCTAGTAAAATACTTTTGGTCCATGTGATAACAGTAAAATCTAAAGAAAATGTTGTTAAGAGCCATGTTCTGGCTCTTAGTGTTAAAAGGTTTTCCCACAGTCTACTGGCAGTGCCATTTCTGTGCTTGTGGGTGTTACCATAGTAACAATGACCAATGATCTATGACAAGGTGTGATGTCATTTGAAATATTTTCAAAGTTGCTTAATACTGGACTTGCTAATTTCATTGGAATATGCTTACATTGTTTTTTTTGTATATTTTTTCAGGGCAAGATTGTTGAATGTATACACTGTGGATGCAGAGGCTGTTCCGGCTGATTCAGAGAAAAGTGGGATTTTGTTTTCAACTAATCTCAGACCTCATGTGACCTTTACAAGTCATGAAGATTTCACACACTTTTTTAATTATCCATTTGGCTCATTGTAGTGTGAATACAACAAATTCATATGTGACATATTTTTAAATTTGTTTGCATATTTTATGGATTTGTTTGTATTCATTGTAAGAAAAAGAATATGTCAGTCACAATCATGTTGTTTGCCTTATTGATAATTAGGATGCAATTTGGTATGTAGATATTTTCAAAGGTTTTCAGTCATTTTATGTGTGTAATTTGGGATCGGTTATGTATGTACAATTCAATACACTTTTCACAAACTTTCAATGATACATCATGTATATATTTCTCACTCTCAGCTTATGTAAATATGAATGTTTCTGTCACCATGGTAACTGTTTACTATAGAACCATTTTGGATGAAGTAATTTGTGTTTACAACAGTACGCTTGGTGGTGATAGATTCACAAGAGAGTACATAATTTTCAGTTTTAACAGTAAGTGTGGTTCTAATGTATGTGTGAATAAAATGGGAAAAATCAAAAAGGTTTTGTGAAGTTTCATTTATTTGTTTCACATAATGGCTAACATGCGGACAGGCAAGTGGGATGGCAGAACTAAACACCTAGGTTTGATTTTCTGTGTGAGTGAATGTGACGTGTCAGTGCTGCACGTGCGTGTCTGACGCCAAACATCTTCTCATCGAGTGAACTTAAGATGTTTCCATAGTTGAATAAACATTTTAAACATATTCTTGGGGTCTCCTGACATGATGTTACTGTGCACTGCTACACAAAGTATAGAACTCGCTCACTTAACTGAGAGTGTATGGACAGGAGAGAACTAACTGTGTGACAAAACGCAGCAACGAAAACAGTGCACAAAAAGCACCTGAGAACATTTAACTGTGGACATGAAAACATGGATTTTCACGTGCACATTGAACGGGACATGTGATTTCGTCTATTTTAGAGTTTAGTTGTGTGTTGTACCTCAATGTAGCAACATGTAATAATGTTTCATTTCCAATACGGGAATTTAGAATAGAAATGTTGCATAAAAGCAACTTAGTTGTTCACCTATAAAAGTGGACTTAAAACACAAAGGTGTAAAAAAAAGCATTTAGAGAGTATATTGTGTAGTTTAATAGCTTTAATAAAAGTTGAATTTGTTTTAGTCAGAATTGTGTTTTGATATTTTGAGTTATCTTCACTCCAGTGTATGTTGCCAGGTATTGCACCCAGCTGTAGTTTGTCAAAGATAATATGCTTTTGTGGAGAGTAGAATAAATGTATTCACATGCTTTCTGTCTGTAGTATCTCTCAGCTCAGTGATAAGATGATGACCATACACTTCAAATGCATTTTAGAATATTTTCATTGGCATGTTCATAACTGAGCTGGGTTTAACTTCACTTTTAACTGTATTCCAATTCTATCACAGTGTCAGATTTATGTGCGAGGAAATCCAGAAGTGATGCATGTTTTAGTTATGTCCATGGGATATACTAGATATCTGATGTCTGTGTGATACACATCATGTGATGGCCATGTGATATACAGAGTTTAATGACCATGTGACTGCCTGTCATTTATTCACTCAAAGCAGCAGAAAGATCCATCATAAAACTTGAATTCAATGAAAACAAACAACTTGAAAACATTCAATCGTTATAATATATAATTTATTTCATAATTTAGTAATGAGCATAACAATCCAGCATCCCTGATCAATATACACTTGTTCCTCGTGAATGGCTGTAGTCTATAATACTGCATATTCTGACAAATGTCAACACCTGTGCTTGTACATTGCATGAGATCAGATACTTGTGGGCAGCACAGTTATGTGTCAACGTTATTCATAATCTCATAAATGCCAAACCATTATATCAAGTGAAAGAGAATTGATATCAAATGAATCTCCTTAAATTCTTAATTCATATCAATCTTGGAATACTCAAGTTAGAATGTTGAATTTGTTTTATGGACTGAGTTTGATTCTCCAATGAAAAACACATATTAATGTTGAGGTTTGACAAATCTGACCACAAACATGGTTCACTAATTCTAGGCACAATAAAAGCACAAACATGAAATATGTACCAGTACATGTATTGAGGATACATAAATTCCAGTAATTCTCATTCAGATGTCTTCTTGTTGACTAAAATATTCAGTATCTTGTACATACCTGATAAAATGAAAGGACTTAAAACATTTCTCACAAATACCTACCTGCACTTTGTACTCTGTTGCCTGACAGTTAGTTGGTAGTATAAAATAACTTTGTTTTTAACACAGTAGTTCTAAAATTGGTCGAATGCCACATTCAACAGTTTTACAGTTAAATCACGGCATAACGGCTCAATCTTACAGTAAGTTGGGTTAAATGCTGCTTTTAACAAAATTCCAGTCATATCACAGCTTGTCGGCTTGACACAGGAGGAAAGCCCAAAGTGATGCAGGTCTCCTACATTTACCACTTATGGTTTGCTGACAAACAGAGAATCTGAGGGACATAATCACAATACACAAGTACATGCCACATGCACAGTATCACATAGGGAAGGTTAGTATCAACAGCTCAGTACTGCCAGCACTACTGTCAGTGTCATCACCAGAGTAAAGTGAAAGAGGTAGTTTCAACTCAACTTTAAATTCAACTTTAAACTGAACCAAGGGCACAGGTATGCTTACATATAAGTGTCATTTTTAGGCTAGCAGAAGACATGATTAGATCCTGGCACAGATAAGGCACAGCCTCAAACAACTGAACCCAACTATGAGTAAAGGAACATGATATGAACAAAGAGTGTGTATTATCATGATTATTAACAAGAAGAGAGAAATGGTGTTCCCAATTTAAGAAGATGGGTAATGATATTTATATTCCTAAATATGCTGTAGACAGGTACAATCACCGGAGTAGAATATCATGAAATAGCTGTAGGCAGTCACAGGTTATGAAAATCATGGCAAATACAGATATAAATTCTTTCTTTCATTCACAGTGTAGAAGCCATGCTCAAAATATTCCAGCAATATCACTGAGGGGTCTCCAGGGTTGGGAAACAATTTATAAGTGTTCTGAACACATCAATCCACTCCTAACACATGGGATCAAACAGATGCAACACTCTGCACAAACAGCACTGACTAGGTTTTCACTAAAACAAACAATACATATGAACCATATATATTCAGAAAAGCATGCCACAACCTGATCAATCTAATCATGACAATGAGGTGATCAATGCAGCAAGATGAGTTTGCAAAAATATATCCTGTCACAAAAACAACAATGAACAATGACCACAAATAAGATCATCTAAAGATTTAAATGACCTAAGTTGATAACGTCCTTGACCTGTAAACAAAGCTGTTCAGGGATAGATATGAATGCATTTCTAGATGCTGCCATGCATTGAGTGGAATGTCACCATCGCTGATGTTTGTTTGCATTCATAAGGAAGTTTTGTAATTGTACTTGATTATATTTTGTTTATGAACAAATGTTGTTTGATGCCCCAGTTGGCAATGTTCTACCCGTGTCAGAGTGGACTAACAAATTAGGTCTTGAAAACTGGTGGTCAATGAAATGAGCAATGATCAACGTAGTTGGTACAATAACACATACATGTATATCACTGAAATTAGCCAAGTTCACATTTTAACAGTGTATGAAATAAGGCCCGTCCGACCGCCCGAGACGGGTTAGATTTCTGACGGACGGTCTACATTTACAGCTCGCCAGCCCGATGGTCTGGTAAAATGTTTAGATATCATGTTCCATACATTTGAGTAAATTCACCATATCTTTAATTTTATCATTGTAACTAAAATTGAGTTATTCTCTTTGGATTGTCTGCTCTGGTTAAATCCATTTTGGGCTGGTAACATTATGAAGTTACCCACCCACCCCCACCCAACCTGATGTCTGGCTGGGTTTTTGGCTTATTTCATACACTGATTTTAACAACAGATGGCTCTTACAACAAGTATGGGATACCTATTCTGCTTGGAACTCCACAGGTTCTCAGATGTCTTCCTGTTCGAAAATTTACTTGCATTCTCCTGATTCTGATTTCACCTCAACCGCTTTCCTTAAAATGTGTACTCACATCTACAAACAGCATTGCAAAATCCCTCATGAAGATCAAATTGATGTACATTCAACTCAAACAAATTGGCTGCTTCAAAGTACAGATAAGACAATCAAAAACATCAACACATTTTCATGCTTAAGCATTTCATGTCTTAGCAGAAATAATTGCCTATATTGAAAGCTTGTTTTATAGGCATAACGATTGACAGAGGTTTTATGGAGGTAAAAGTCATTACTGGATAACAATGAATATTGACAATAGATCAATACACATTAAGTAGTAAGACAAGAACAGGTTCAAATATTGATTGTAAAGACAAAGATGCACAAAAAGTAAGAACTGTTATGAAGTAATGACAAAATCCTTTAACAATTAACAGGATGGAGGCGGTATTGACCTATTGTCGGAAAACCTTTTGTTCAAGGCTGTAGACTGACAGCTGATTCTGTTGTACTTGGCAAAGGAGACTGATGATGTGTTTACATGACAAGAAAATGCCCATTTAAAAACAAATATACTGTACTTATAACAGAAACAATTCCTGTCATATATCTGCTATTTTGTAAGTATTAAGTCCATGTACATGTAGATTTACCATGGGAGACTTGTGTTTACATAGCAAGAAAATGCCAATTTGAAAAAGAATATCCTCAGTTTTATTGGGGAACCATCATACAAATAATTCCCTCACGTATCTGCTTTTGTAAGTATTAAGTCCATGTACATGTAGATATACCTGTAGTGAGTGAGTGAGTTTAGTTTTTTGCCGTACTCAGCAATATTCCAGCTATATGGCTGCGGTCTGTAACTAATCGAGTCAGGACCAGACAAGCCAGTGATCAACAGCATGAGCATCGATCTGCGCAATTGGGAACCGATGACATGTGTCACCCAAGTCAGCGAGCCTGACCACCTGATCCTGTTAGTCGCCTTTTACGACAAGCATGGGTTGCTGAAAATCAATTCTAATCCGGACCTTCATGGGTCAGATATACCTGTAAGTTACAGATGGATTAAACTGTGTTTAACATAACTTGGAACCAAACTTGCACCAGTTAGAACATGCAAGAAGATAAATCAGCCAAACTTAACAAAATGTGAAGAAAAGATAAAAGAAAAGGTGCACATTGCAACAACTGTTAGCAAAACACACACTACACAGATCCCAGACACTGCACTCAACACAAGCATTTTATTGAATATGCCATATACATTTATACAAGTAGGAAGCACCCATTACTGCCTTGGCAGCCATAAATCAATATCATTAAATACCACACAATCTACACAATTCTATATGTCTGTGGGTAGTACCTTTTGACACAATTTCAATCTCAAATATTTTAGAATCTCTGACAATTTGTATAAGAAGGCACCATAAGTTTGAAATTAAGATTTAGTGTATTTCTTTTGATCAGGTTCATAACTCTCACTAGTAAATATAAAAAAGTGAACATAATGAAACTTGATTCCGAAATGGCATAGATTCTTAGGCACTGCTCACATTGAGGTGAGAAATCAACATTAAGATAGAGTGAGATTGCACTCGTTCTGTGTGCTCCACTCACACACAGTATACCGACTAGTTGTTTTATCTCTTATCAAGTCAGTTTAACAACAAATACCATCTTTTAATTTACCTTGGTACGACAGGTATCCACTAAACCATAGAGGCGGTCACATCATGGGGTTATATCCATGTAACAGTACTTTAGCTATATTATGATATCTCATGGAGTAGAGTGAAGCAGGTTCTAGATGTTCACCACTGTGTTGGAGAAAACTTTAGAGAATCATAACTTGGTAAATGTGGGATCTCTGATCACCAGATCCTGGCAAGACTAAGGGATGTTACTCTACACTTGTCAGCAAAACACCCCCGAATGTTGCTTACTGAGCATATCTTTTCACACTTGAAATAAGAAAACTTGGAAAAATAAATTATAATCCACATCATATATACATTGTCATATCACCTCTGTCAAATGTGAAATTGTGCATCTGTAGATAAACGGCATAAGTCCCTGATAAAATAACACAATTTTATGTTGAGAACAATTCAATAGCAAGACAAGTAATTCATCTGGACTCGTTCATGATACAACACAGTCACTGGCATCCATCCCAGACTGGGAAATTAGCATAAAGTTTGTTGTGTTAAACCTGGGCCTCCTGTATATCAACTACGTCTCCAGACATCCCCAACAATAACAACTAGAACAACAACATATAACCATGTAGTTTCTACATGCTGTAAGTTGTGATGCACAGATTCACTGAGAAACAATGTAAGTCTTTCATAAATCAATAAAATTGATAACATGAAAATGTGAAGGAAAGAAAAAGATACACTTTGAGACTGGCTGAAACAGATGATGAGCAAATGGGCTTTTACACCACAGCAGCAATATTTCAGCCCTATCACAGTGGCCAGTATGTGAAACAGCCGTTGACCGAGAGATTCACGTGCTATGGCAACACATAGCCAGAGGAGCTTGGCTTATGATAAACTATCTTGCTGCCATAATCTACAATTTCAATACAATCTGATGATTCCTTTCTGTGTGAAGACGGACTATCCATGAGGTCACATCATGCAATTGTTCAGTCAGAAATTCAGCACTGAGGTACAAACAAGAATCATGGAGAGCAGTGCCATGGCTAGTGCAAAACCTTTGGAGAATGTGTGTATGGGAGTTCTTTCATAAGATCTACGAATCAAGATGGTTATGAAAGATTCTAATTTGTCTTGCAAAGCTGACATCTGATGGCTCAAGAATCCATGTATTTCTCCACATAGACTGGGTAGGGAAACTTTGCACATGACTCTAATGCAACCTTCTATAGATAGTTTCTTCACACAGCAAGGTATGAAACTGGCGATTTTAATGAGTTAATCATAGGCTCATTCCTGCATGTGTTGTCAAAGTCACACAGACAGGACAGACAGCACCAGACTATATGCGCATCATACGCTAAATGCCCCCCAATCACTAAATGCAGCGGTTTCAGCAACAAAAACAATTCTGACTAATATTCAGTTCTTTGATGACTTCATTGTGAACAACTGAACAATGCACATTTCTGTTCATTCCACAGCAATCTTCCAGTCTTCGTGGGTAAACCTCATAGCAAAATACAGTTGATGTGCAGAGAACTGTCGACTCAGTGGCATGCCCAGCATAGGTGTCGCTGAGAAACCAGCAGCACCACCTGGCGGCACTTCAGCCTTCCAATCAAATGTCACCTCTTTGTCATTAGTCTCTACACTTACTCGCACTTTCCCGTTCGGTAGAGGCTCTGTCTTAATGGTGAGCACAGACCCTTTGATTATTGGGGACAGCTTTGTCTTCATCTCTTGGCCATCAACATACACTTTACCTACAAGATACAAGGGCATACAGAGAGTTTCTAGTGGGACACATTCATCAACATACTTTACCTACAAAATACAAGGGCATGCAGACTTCCTACTGGGGAAAAGCAAAGATAGTTTGACATAAATTACAATTAATAATTACACAACTCGGTAAGTCTGACATGAATGTTATGTAATCAGAGTTTTGCTGTTCATTCAGTACGTCAGGTTTTTGCTTCAATCCTAAAACATGCACAGTGGGGCAGCCTGACTCACCTCCTGTATCTACAAAAACAGCTCCTGTCCGTCGAAGAGTATCTGTGTGGTCATCCATCCACGATACTCCAACACCATCATCAAATGATTTTTCTCCGGCGTCCAAAATCCTAAATGAGATCTGTTCCCCTGATGATATGCTTGGAACGCCTGAGTAGAGAACAGATCCCAACGACCCGCTGACACGAGTCGCTGTCTTGTCTTCATTACTAGTGCAATAAGCCTCACTTTCACTGTGCCATTCTGGGGAGGAAACAAGAATCAGTTCAAATCAGAGCTATATTCACCTCTTTTAAAATCCAGTTTAAGAAGTGTTTTCAAGTACTTAACAAATATGAGCAGCTCTTCACCACCATTTTCAGAAGGACACAAAATCATTACATATCATGCATTTCCAGTGTGATGTCATTGCTTTTGTTTCCTGAAATGATTGATTGTTGTTTAAAGCCACACTCGGCAATATTCTAGCTATATGGCAACGGGCTGTAAATAATCGAGTCTAGACCAGACAATCCAGTGATCAACAGCATGAGCATCGATCTATGCAATTGGAGTACGATGATATGTGTCATCCAAGTCAGCGAGCCTGACACTGGATCCCGGTAGTTACCTCTTACAATAAGCATGGGTTACTGAAGACCAATTCTAACCTGGATCTTCACAGGCTTGTTTGTTGAAATACTAGGTACTACTATATACCTTCAAAAAGAATTCTAACTGCACCTTCCACTGAATGATTTTATAAAAACTCATTTCTAATGAAGTATGTAATTTTTCAAGTAAACTTGATATTTTTATACTTATCCTGACTCATGATCTTTTGCTTATCTCCCTTTTCCTTGCGAATGGTAGTGGAACACTTGAATCTCTTGAACTTCCCGAAGTGGAAGTAAAAATACACTCACCCACGAGTTACCTCCCTTTTCCCGCGTAAACAGTCATGTGACCAGCCTTACTCTCTCCTGATTTTTCTGCCCAAGCACTTGGATCTGCTGTGCCATCTGAAGTGTTTCGTGCGGGGAGGTTGGGAGGGCTTCTTGTCATGAGTCAGGATAAGTATAAATATATCAATTTTACTTGAAAAATTACATATTTTTTCTTATCCTGACTCATGATCTTTTGCTTATAGAATCTGACGGATTGGTGTTGGGTCAAGCCACTTCGTGGATTCATCAGCTGTCCTTACTTCCATCTTAAGACAAGTTGAATCATCTTGATTCATATGGCTTAAGATATACTAGTATCTTCTTTTTACTAGATATGATAAGATCTTTATCATAAATGAGTTGCAACCCCTTCATGTACAGGTAAGATTTTTACCCATACAGGATCTTTAATCACTCATGCTAGCCTGTCATAGACTGTGCGCATGGACTTTCAAACTAATACTTTTCCTTAGTTAAAGTTATCAACAAGTCAACGTGATAAAGGGTGAGATTTTCCAACCCAGCGCCTTTGAGGAACCGTTAGTTGCTGTGCTACAACGAGAGGCCAAATTGGTGAATGCCTGAGACATCTTCAGTGGCTAGGTCTCGGAGGTAGTGGTTGGCAAACACCATATCCAACTTCCAAAAGCAGCCCTCCATAATTGCTGATATAGAGCAATTTGCGTGCAGTGCCGATGTTGACGCCAGTGCTCTGACTTCGTGTGGGTTGGAAGCTCTAGGAGGTTCTAGTCCTTCTGCTTTATAGGCTCTCATCCCGAACGATATCGTCGTTCTTGAGACTTCTGCTGATGTCTCTGTTGATAATGGGATGAACAGGCACTTGAATTTTTCTTTCCTTGTCTTAGTCTTTTGAAGATATCTCTTCAGGGCTCTGACCGGACACAAGGATAGGTCCTCTATATCCTCTGGTCCAAGGATTGTAGCTAGAGCTGGTACATGGAACTGTCTATCTGGCTGACCAGGTAGTTGGTTCTTGGCAATGAAGTCCCATCTAAGTCCTAGATGAACTGCAGCATGTTGCCCCGTGTCGAATCTGGTTCGACCAAAGTCCAGCGCATGTATCTCTGATATCCGAGCTGCCGTGGCTAGCGCAAGCAGGAACAGAGTCTTCTATGTCAGCAGCTCGAAGGTAGTATGGTCTTGAGGTTCGTAGACATCACTTGTAAGATGACGTAGAAATACATTCAGATCCCAGGCCGGAGCTCTGAACTTCTTTTGCTGGTCCTCCAGTTTAAAAGATCTCAGCAGAGCAAGTAATTCTGGTACTTCGTCAACTTGATGCCTGTTTTCATGGTAATTACTGTACTGATGGCAGCGAGGTATGTAGATAATGTCGAACCTTTCAGATGTCTAGTCTGTCTAAGATGACACAGGTATTCCGCAACTTGTGGATGAGTAGCTTTCATAGCAATAAAGCCTTTCCGCCTTGCATAAGTCTCAAACTTCAGCCACTTGTCATCATACAGGTTATGAGTAGAGTAGAGTACGCTAGCGTTACTGCCATGGCTGCCCTGGCGGAGTATCCTCTTTTCTTCAAACATGTTTTGATACGGTCCACACGTATAGCTGGAACAGTGATGGGTTCCCGTGGACTTGCTTGGTGTGCGGATGTATGAGTAGGTTCGGCCAATCTGGTAACTTGATTGTTGGACTTCTGAGATCTTCTATTAGGTCTAGGAACCATACTCTCGCTGGCCAGTATGGCGCGACCAAGTCAGTTGTAGCGCCTGTGTCTGTTTGATCTTCAACAGTACTTTCGGTAGTAATATCAGGGGCGGAAACTTGTAAGCATTTAGTCCTTCCAAAATATGCTCAGTACATCTGTTGCCCAGGCCTGAGGATCTGGAACTGGTGAGACAAACGTCTGTAGTTGTATGTTGAACCTCGTGGCAAACAGGTCTATGCAAGGGGATCCTATTTCCCTTATGATGAGCCGAAATGCTTCTGGATGGAGCATCCATTCCGTAGGTGACGGGTACAGTGGTCGGGAGAGAGTGTCTGCAAGCACGTTCTTGGCTCTGGGTATGTGACACGCCTTTATCCAGATGTTTGCCTCCTCCATGATGTCAGACAGCTAGAATGTGAGCTGTAGTAGGCTTGGTGATCTTGTAGATCCTTGCCGATTTATGGAGAATACCACTGTAGAGTTGTCCGTGTGGACCATCAGCATTCTGTTGATCAGCGAGCTCGACATAGTTGTAAGGCGTTAATCACAGCTTTCATCTCCAGCAGATTGATGTGATGATGCTGCTCTGTTTAGGACCACTTCCTTCCACTTCAACTTGATTGTTGAGATGTGCACTCCAACCTTGTCGAAGGCCGGCTCTTGTAAAGAGGTCCCTCTGCAGACGTTCGACCTGTGGGTCCACCAAAGTAGGTACCTCTTGAGATTGTCTGGCAGCAGGATAGGGTCGACGCTGTCCAGATGTTTTGTCAGGAACCGTTGCAGCGGCCTTAGTTGTAACCTTCCTGTGCGAGTCAAGTCCTGCGCCGAGGTTAGTAGACCCGGTAGACATTGCCATGTTCGTAGTGTAAACGGAGAGATGACTGCTTGTGGAATCATGGCTTGTATCTTGACCCAATGATCTTCTGGGACCACAATTCGATTCTGTGTTGTGATAATTCTTATCCCAGCAATTGAAGATCTTGTTTTGATTCTAATGCCAACTACATCAGGTTCACTAGCCATCCTAGTTGCGTGAGCAACTGAATTGTGAAGTTCAGCTGCTGTCTGAGTTGATTGGCACTTTGAAGAACCTGTATGCCGTCATCCAGATAACCGGCTCTGCGTAGACCTCGATGCTGCAGATAGGTGCCGATAGGCTTGGTTATTCGTATGATGATCATAGAGCCGACGATATTCCAAACTGTAGGACGTTCCATTGGAAGTGCTAACCTCTGATTGCAGTGATGATACATCATTCTTCCCCTTATATGCGCAGGCGATCTGTGTTGATCAGCATACACCGAAGCGTTGTCTATTTATAGCAAGGCTGGCTCCAGTGTAGCATCGCAGGGGACAGGTACTCATACTGACTTTTATCAGTGACAACTTCCAAAATAAACATTGTTTATCCTGCTGTAAAAGCTAGACATCTATTAGATTCCCATGATGATAACAGGCCGTAGTTGTATACTGTTTCCAAGGCTGACGATGAAGTATTCCCCCATACCATGGGTTTGTTTACAAATCAGAAAACATGCTGGAGCCTGCTCTGTCAGTGGGAGGCGTTGTCTGAGGTGGACCAATCAGCTTCCAAGCATGACGTCACCAGTGTTGTAGCAAGTTGGCCTCGATAAAATCTGATGCAATTAGTTCGTTGAGTAAAAGCGTGCGTAATTCTACGCCGCTCATATAAACCTCTTGAATAAGGGTTGCTCCAAGTGTAAAATCTTGTTCAGTGATATAAATCACGTATTCACATTATGGATAATATAAGCCAGCATGACGATGGAGGCTGTCAAGCCCTATGTCTGTATGGATCTTGAAGAAATACCAATGTTGAATCTAGTTGATAGGATATAAAATCCTAATCCCCTCTCATAATTTCACCCAGATCAAGTTCTGCGTTGATTGAAGCTGCTGCGGTGTAGAAGAAACGCTGATGAGTTGTGTGCCTCAACTTCACTCTGTTGAGAAGTTGGTGGTAGTTCATCAAACAGCTGGCCTGCTGTGACCATTGCAGGAGACGATCTAGCAGTCGTGGAAGTTGATTGAGTCACCGATCTGGTAGGTACTTCGGGTAGAAGTAACGGGGGATCATAAAAAAACACGTCTACTTCATGCGGAGGTACTATCTCTTCGTTGAAGGATTTCTTCTGCGTTGACTAACTAGGCTGCGTAGATTTACCCTCCGATCTGGAAACAGATGCTTTCTTCTGCAACGTTGAAGAAGACGACCTAAATACAAAGGATATAATGCCGTATACAGGACTCCAGTGCTCGCCCAACCATCCACTTGGGCGAAAAGGGATACAGTGACAAGTATGGCTGGTCACATGACTGTTTACGCGGGAAAAGGGAGGTAACTCACGGGTGAGTGTATTTTTACGTCCGCTTCGGGAACTTCAAGGGATTCGCAAGGAAAAGGGAGATAAGCAAAAGATCATGAGTCAGGATAAGAAAATATATAATATTTTTACATTTATGAAACAAACAATTAGTTGGACATGATACAAATGACATGGCACTAAATCCTAAGAAAATTAGTTTTAGTTTTAAGCAGTTTTTAAGCAATATTCCAGCAATATCATGGCGTTGGACACCAGGTATGGGCTTCACACATTGTACCCATGTGGGACATCAAACCCGGGTCTTCAGCGTGACGAGCGAAAGCTTTAACCACTAGGCTACCCCACTGCCCCTAATAAAGGAGAAACATGTAGGTTGAAACACACCAAGCATCACTCAGCAAGAGAGGTTTACATACGGTAATGTGGTATAGTAGTAGCAGCTGTGGTGGGCAGGCTCCAGGCACTCCAGTCAGACTTGGGGGCTGCTCGACCACATACTCGGAATGAATATATTTTATTGGTGGAGAGATGTTTCACAATTGTTTGTGTATCGCTGCCGGTGTAACTTGTATGCCAGAGAGCATTGGCATCATCATTAAACTTTATATTGCCATATGCATGTTGGAGCCAGAATTCAGTGACATCAACTTCATCATCAACCTGAGGAAAAAGAGATGTTTATTAATCCTCTCTGAAAACACAAAGAGATGCTACTTTTATCAAACTCCAATGGTACAGCTGATGATAGGATCATGATGTACCTGATTATGTTAACTTCTTTGACATTACTGGTTATGCTGCTATACAAGAAAAAGCATTGAGGTTTTGCTCTACAAATTGGGTCTTAGCATTATCACTCATGTTTATCTTAAGGTGAACTCAGTTGAGACAGGGGCCAGTCCTTGTTTTATTCCCTAAATCCTGAGAGCCATAAAGGTTTAGGGAAACAAAAAAGTGTCATCTTTTAACCTCTTGGTGTGACACGACCATGGATGAAAGAAAACCTCTTCTGCTCTCCGGACAGATGCTCTATCCACCAGACCAAGGAGACAGCACTTTATGATAAAATATAGGTGTTAACTCAACTTCCCTTGAGCTTGACATCACTGCTTTTTCAGTATGTTCTCTGCTACTTTTTACTCCATATAAACATCTCATCACACTAACATCTGTGATATACATATTGCCTTTACTGGTACACATCACCATACTCACCTCACTCCAATTTACAATCAGTCCTCCTGGACGTTCTATCAAGTCTGTGATCTGAACAGGAGCTGATGCAGTTACTTTGCCCTCCTTCCGAACCATACCACATATCTTCTCCCTCAAAGGCCCTCTCAGTTCTACTGTAATATCAGGGACAGCTGATCGACACGGAATTTCTGGCAGGCTGAAATATATTCATGGCTTGAGAAATGTCGTACTTCTTCTACAGCTGCAGGATCAGCTCGTATACTCTCAGGAGTGTGGAACATGTCCTTGTCATGCATGGTTATTTCAACGAAAATGTAATTTTTTGAGTAAAATTGATATTTTATACTTATCCTGACTCATGCTCTTTTTGCTTGTCTCCTTCCTCTTGCGAACATAGTGGAACACTTGTATCTCCCTAATTGAAGTTCCCTTCAATGTAAAATCACTAATTAGTACACCACGAGTTACCTCCCTTCCACAAGCGCGGGAACGAGGGCGCCACCTCTACCCATGTGCCTCACTCTCTCCTCATATACTGAGCCCAACATTTGAATTTACAGGAAATCCAAAGTGTTATTTGGGGAGGATGGGAGGGGCTGACCTCATGAGTCAGGATAAGTATAAAATATCAATTTTACTCAAAAATTACATATTTTTCCTTATCCTGACTCATGCTCTGCTTGTAGAATCCAACAGAGCGGAGGTGGGAATATATAATACTTTGGATTTTAATAATTAGTGATTTGAACTGTGATGATTGTAATAACCCTATGGGAACTTCATAAAGGCATTGAACTGATGAATTCCTGCTGCCAGCTTATCAGCTGCCATATAGAGGTTATTACAATGTACTTATTATGATAAGTATATATAATATTAATACAATGCTTAAGACTAATAGACTTAAGCTTGTTAATATGCTAGTATAAACTCCTTAGAGTTTGTTAGCTAAAATACTTTAAGATATAAACATAGCACTAAGCTTAAAATATGATTAATTTTAAGCTAATTATATAATAACAAACCTCTTTAGGGTTTGTTAGTTAAAATATTTATATGATATAGACAGTGCTGAGCTTAAGATATGAATAAGCTTAGCTATATATATAACAACAAACTTTGTAGAGTTTGTTAGCTAATACATTTTACAATATGAGTATAGTACTGTGCTTAAGATATAATTGCTTAAGCTACATATATAATAGCCAAACTTAGTATAGTTTGTTAGCTAATATATTTTACAATATGAGTATAGTACTGTGCTTAAGATATAATTAACTTAAGCTACATATATAATAGCCAAACTTAGTAAAGTTTGTTAGCTAATATATTTTACAATATGAGTATAGTACTGTGCTTAAGATATAATTAACTTAAGCTACATATACAATAGCCAAAAACTCTGTAGAGCTTATTAGCTAATAGATTTATAATGTAACCATAGTACTAAGCTTAAGATATGATTAGACTTAAGCTAAATGTATATAGCAAAAACTCCTTAGAGTTTATTAACTAATATACTTTTATGTTATAAACATAGTACTGAGCTTAAGATATGATTAAACTTAAGCTATATATATATAATAGTAAAACTCCGTAGAGTTTGATAGCTAATACATTTTATTATGTTGATTTAGACCTAGTATTGAGCTTAAGATATGAAGTAAACCTTAAGCTAAATATATAATAGCAAAAACCTTTTAGAGTTTTAATAGCTAATATACTTATATGGTATCAACATAGTATTGAGCTTAAGATATGAAGAAACCTTAAGCTACATATGTATAGCAAAAACTCCAGTAGAGTTTGTTAGCTAATACATGATATAATGTAACCATAAAGCTTAAAATATGATGAAAACTTAAGCCCAATATATAATAGCAAAAACTCTTTTAGAGTTTTGATAGCTAATATACCTATATGCTATAAACATAGTACTAAGCTTAAGATATGAATAAGCTTAAGTTACATATATAATAGCAAAAACTCCATAGAGTTTGTTAGCTAATACATGTTATAATGTAACCATATTGCTTAAGATATGATGAAACTTAAGCCAAATAGCAAAAGCTCTTTAGAATTTGTTAGCTAATATAGTTATATGATATAAACATAGTACTGAGCTTAAGATATGAATGAGCTTAAGCTACCTATATAATAGCAAAACTCCGTAGAGTTTGTTAGCTAATGTATTTTACAATATGAGTATAGTACTATGCTTAAAATATACTTGACTTAAGCTCATTATATAATAGCCAAAAAACTCTGTAGAGTTTGTTAGCTAATGCATTTATCATGTAACCACTGTGATGATAAAAAAGCGAGCTTAAGCAAATTATATATAGCATGAAGCTATTTAGTACTGTTATAAGATAAGTAAAATCTGTAAGATTGACTTATCTTCTCGAGAACTGTCAACTGTTGTGCAAGGACCATGGGATCAAATTGGTGGATACCTGAGATGTCCTCGGTGGTGATATCTCTCAGATAATGGTTGGCAACCACCATATCGGATCTACAGTAATAAACCCTCCATTATTTCAAATAACATTTGTGTAGATGAAATTGTAGAAGTTAAGCTCTAATATCAAAGAGTATTAAAGCTCATGGAGGGTGGGATTAGGTCCATCTGTCTTGTATGCCGCGTAGTATGACAGTTCTGATCCAAGCGGAGATATAGTACATTGAGACTACACTCTCGTAAGTTGATGATAGAGGAAAAAATCTGTTGTATTTTTTCTTCCTGTTTGGTTTGGTGGAGATAAATTTACAGTGCTCTTGCTGGCCAGCGTGATAGCATCATCATTATCATGGAGTCCAAGTATGTCATCCAGGCATGTTCATAAACCTCACTTGTGAGGTGTTGTAGCACTATATTCATATCCCCAAGTTGAGTGCGTGAAACTTCCGTTTATTCTCCAAACAGAAACTTAGTAGGTTTACTAACCATCTAGTTGTGTTAGTAGCTTGATGATGAAATTCAGGTGTAGTCTGAAGCGCTGTGGATTCGATCCACTTGTATCCACGTCGTCTAGGTAAATCGTTGCGATGTCCTTGGCGATGTATGTACTAACCGGGGAGTTTGTGTCCTCGATGAACTTTATGTAAAATCGCCTGACTGCTGTGCCCTTGTCTAAACTTGACAGGGGAGGTCTCTAACCTGAAGAAAGCAGCCTAATCCTGAAGGTTCAGGTTAACTGGGCTGTAAGGAGGCTTGCTCGTTCATTGATATAAAGTTGTCACTTGCAACCTATGTCTTGAACTGTGAACTATGCTTTCGACCTCTGTGTAGAGGCGTTGTTCATCGAGGGTCCAATCAGAATAAGGCATTTTGATTCTGTAGAGTACCAGCTGTGATGTCACGGTGTAGCAGGAAAAGGAACCTTGTATAATATAGTGCGTCGTTGATATTAGAACAATCGTCGGTCTTCATCGTAACTTCGAAGTTACCCAGTGATACGTGTTTTGAGGATTAATGGTAAAGCGAAAGCTCGGTAAAAAATACCTCGCTCTGTAATATTAATGCTGGGTAGGTTATTTTCCTGGCTGTCGTGAAAGTGCTTCAGTTTTGAATATAATTCCGACTTCTTTATATATAAAGGTACAATAACTTGTAAGTTGTCAGCTTGTAGACTGTATACATGAATGTATCGTCATAATTGTAGAATTAAAGCTGAATTTGTTGTACATATTTCTTCTCAGAAATGTTGGCGATTATGAGTTATACTTTCGCTGTAACAAGGCTGCTGTTCAATTTCGATATTGAATTGTCTGCAGATATCGTAATGGTCGCATGTAGATAATCGTATCGTCGTCGGGATTGCATATACTAGCAATTTATCACGGAATAGTTGATTTCTGTGAAGATCTATGAAGCGTCGTTGACAAATTAATACAGCGGCGTTCTGTGTTGTAAATAGCCTGTGCAATTGTCTTGGCGTAGGCTTATAGGCGGCATCTGGCATACAGTTGATAGACAACTTATGCGATGTCTTGAACGGACTGAGGAGTAGCTATATATGGCGAGTGGCTAGTATATGGAGACCTTGGAGGAGACTTCCTCGGTGAGCGCCGGAGACTTCCGCGAAGCTCGAAGTATCCCTTCTAGATCTACTGGTGAAGTAGACTTGGAGCCACTTATCCTTAGCGACCTTAGCGAAGGTATCGAATCAAAGTCCGATTAGAATATATATATATATATATATAAAAGCTTGCTTCGCGAATGGCCTCTGTGTTTAACAGGATGTGGGGTCGTGGCGCTTCTCCTCAGCGGCGTCCCTTGTAGCTGGTGAGGCTCTAGCTCCTTAGCGGAGGCTGACCTGGGACTTGCTGGTTCTGCATAAGTAGGGCGAGTGGATCATCTTATCATTTTCAGAAGTGGAGTGTTACGAAATCTGGCGATAAGTGTCTCAATGATCGTTCTAGATCTATTTAGGCCAAGCGAACATACGTCTCGTCATGGATTCAACTGAACCAATTTACGATTGTAGTTCTTATTGTTGATATCGATGATCAACTTGTAGTTTTCATCGATGTCTTAAGCATTGAAGAAGGTCCATGTTGTGCGTGGAAAACTTCTAGGCGTGAAAGTTCGGCAATTATGGTGTCTGAACTTTTGTGGCTTTATGGGATGCTATGTCTAGATTCTGTGCTACCGCAGCAATCGATTCGATCGGAGGTAGGGTGATAGCATCTGCGTCGTCTTCCTTCATCAGGTATGTCTGCGTGTTACTGCCACTCTAGGAAGGTGATGTAGACTTGTGTGCAGACTTGTGTGGTAACCTGTGAGGCGATCGATGTGGTGATGTCTGAGGAGATCGGAGACTATTGACAGCCCAGCGAAGCTCTTGAGTAGTCCCTTGACTCTGTTAAATGGCGATCTATATTGGGGTGTCCTTCGAGTGCCTTCGCGAATGCCTTTGAGCGCCTTCCTGACGCACGCCAGCGAAGCTTCCTCGCGTTGATTGCTGGGGAGCGGCGATTTGAGCTTGAAGGCTTCCGTGAGGTCTGGTGGCTGAGTCTGCATCTAAGGATGAAGCGAGGAATGTGATGATCTATCCCGCCAGCGAAGGCCTTAGCGAAGGCTGTACATCTGGGTCCGCCGTCAAGGTGGTCTGCGACTTCGCCAGCGAAGGCTGCATCGTCTTGGCTGCTACGTTGACTGGAGGTGCCTCTAGAGTGTTGTCTAAGTTGGAGCCAGCGAAGGGCTCGTACTCTGGAGCTGGCTGCTTCTCCAGTTTGTAGTGACCCTCCATCACGACCATGATTTGCCATAGTAGCTTCGTCTGGGATGGTCTGCGGCGAAGTAGTCGGTGCCATCTCTCGCTGTTAGTGGTGGGGCCCTCAGGTAAGTCGTCTGACATCAGTGTAGAGACATCAGGCTGCATGGCGATCTCTGCTGATGTCATTGTAGCTGTCATCACCGGTCGCTACTTGTCTCATCGTCGGGGATGATGATCGGCTGATCATCGTAGAGGCCAAGTTCAGCGGCTGGAACAATCTCGGTTGAAAGTCCTAGTAGACCCGTTGAATTCCCCTCAGAGGTCGGCGCTGCCCTGGGGGTGCGAAGTCTCGTTGAGTGTTAGTAGCGGGACCCTCAGGAAGATCATCGAATGTTGATCTGCGCTGACATCACTGTTGCCGACATCAGTCATTCTTTGATGTACATCAGGAATGATGATCGGCTGATCATCATACAGGCCCAAATCTGCGATGAGAACAATCTCGGCTGAGAAAGTTCTAGTAGACTTCGTTGAATACCCCTCAGTGCGGCGAAGGGATGTCTGGGGAAGCAGGGCGGCTTCTTGAGGCGGCGGACTACGTCCCACGCCTCTCCACCATTCTAGCGGAAAACCAGGCGGGAGGGTCGACCAACAGCAGTAGACTGGCGAGGGTTCAGGTGTATCAGTCATGCTAGACTCTGCATCGTGACCTATCTGCTCGCGGCGTCTCAAAGCGCCAAAGTAATTATTTATTAAAGGTAGAATTGGATAAATTAGTATCGCAACTGCAAGCGTGAATCACATGAAACATGGCGCCCAGTACAGCTAGGGCATATTAAATGCGGATCAGCAGCAGAATAAAAAGCGTAATGTGCAACAGTACAGAATTTTTATCAGCGTAATCCACTGCAACAGCCGCGGCGTCCGTGCATAAACAGTAGAAACGCGACTAAATATCAATATATAATTGTTGAAAGATACTAGCTAAACCTCTATAGATCTCTATACGAGGTAACTAACTAAATATAATCAAAGGATATAGTGTGTCGGGAGACACAGGCGCTCTCAGGTCCAGCTCACTGGGCGAAGAAGGAGAGAGTGAGGCACATGGGTAGAGGTGGCGCCCTCGTTCCCGAGCTTGTGGAAGGGAGGTAACTCGTGGTGTACTAATTAGTGATTTTACATTGAAGGGAACTTCAATTAGGGAGATACAAGTGTTCCACTATGTTCGCAAGAGGAAGGAGACAAGCAAAAAGAGCATGAGTCAGGATAAGGAAAAATAGGGATTCTTCCATTTTCAGAGTAATGATAATTTCTTCCATGTGCCATTAGCAAGGTGAACAGGCTTTTACTAAATTCTTGTACAAATTCAGAATGTACAAGAGCAAGTCAAGTTTTATGCCTTTTCATCAATATTCTAGCAATATACTAGCAATATCAAGGAAAATCAGAAATGGGCTTCACACGTGGGAACTTGAACCCTGGGTCTTCAGAGCAGCGAGCAAGTGCTTTAACCCCAATGCTATCCCACCATCCGGCAATGTACAAGAACTTTGGGCAAGTAAATTCCTGTACAGGCATGAATAACACATACAACTCAGATTCCAGCCACCTCATGATAGCTTGTAAATAATCATGTGTGTCTTATTCACCACTGACTGACTGTTTTCTTAGTTGGCTCTTGTGACGAAATGTGACACAGGGGACCTTCTCAACCTTAGAATCGAAACAGGTTTGAACAAATAAAGATTTATCTATTTGCAATAGTTTTCTCAATACCTTGAAAGTCCTTTAGTGTGGGGATTGTCCTTGAACTTGATAATGCCCTCTAAATTACTCTCAGGGTCATTTTTTAGCAGAAGTGAACCTGAAATGTAGACGATAACCACATTGTTACAATCCTCAGTCAACCCAGGTTTGTCATTTAAAACTAGATATCTTAATGAAAGTAATCCATCTGTGGTTCATATAGTGACAGCATGAGGAACAATCTGTAAAACCAGGTCACATGTTGTAGCCATCCAATCAACATTTAGTTATCTCTTTAGACCAACATAACATCAGGGGATCCTTGGTACCTGAGTCAGGGGTTGGTGCACAAAACATTGACAGATAACTTCAGTATAATTTGCAATACAAGTAAACTTCGGTGAAATTCACAATGTAAATAAATTTTAATTTGTTGGTTGGTTGGTTTAGTTGGTTTGTATTTAACGCCGCACTCGAAAATATCCCAGTTATATGGCACCGGTCTGTATAAAATCAAGTCTTCACAAGACAATCCAGTGATCAACAGCATGAGCATCAATCTACGCAACTTGGATACGATGACATGTGTCAACCAAGTCAGTGAGTCTGACCACCCGATCCAAACACCTCTTACGGACAAGCATGGGTTGCGGAAGACCAATTCTAACCCAGAGTTTCACTGGTTTTATGCATTGTGATTTATTCACAATGCACACAAAATTGGTAAATTAACAAGACACATATAATGATTTGAAAGTCAGAAAGTACATAAATGCCGCAAACTGTTCCCAGAATATTGGTCACCAATCAACATTAACTAGTGAGTGAGTGAGTTGAGTTTTACGCCGCACTCAGCAATATTCCAGCTATACAGCGGCGGTCTGTAAATAATCAAGTCTGGACTAGACCATCCAGTGATCAACAGCATGAGCATCGATCTGCGCAATTAACCCTACCTTCCTCCATGACAGCAGCTGCGTTGTCAATACCCTGCTGTATCATCTCCTCACACTGTCCTAGAGGAGTCATCGCAGTTTCTTCAATACTGTCTATCTCCTGCGTCAGAGTTAACAACCGGGCATCCAACGCTTCATTCAACACAGACTTCAGCTCATCAAAATGAGCTTTTAATTTATTCCTGGAATTATCTGCACTTTGTTGAACCTAGAACAAATCAAGAAAATACAAAAAAACTAACAAACTCAAAGGGACCACTAATTTCACTTCATTTTAAATATATATTTCTTTGCTTCCACATGGGTTACAGCACATATATCATATTATTGTACACATTCTTGATCCTAAAATAAATCTTGTAAGCAGTCTTAATCTTTGTAAAGATCATAGAGGCATATCATAAACATATAATTTACATAAATACCATACTAACAATAATTACATGAAGACTGGTTGATGCTGACAACAGCGTTGCAAACTCCCGCCTGCCAGACCGTCCGGGACGGTCTGTTTTGCGACAGGAGGGTCAGTTTTAAAAAGTTACACGCCCGATGGTCTGGCTGTTAAATCCGTGTAATTTTGTAATGTATATAATGTCTAAAGCCTTGACTGAAACAGATTTAAAAATGTGTGTTATTGTGACAATAACCTGACATTAAACAGTTCCCTCCTCTTATTTACCTTCTTTTTATTTTTCTTAATCCAGAAAATACTGGACTGGCAACTTTCCAACGGTCTGGTAACTTTTGATCCTATTCCTATGTTAACTGCCACGCTTCAGTCAACCATGGGTATCATTCCTCTAGTAGCTTGTAACAACAGGGGGCTAGAGGGGTGGGGTGTTAGAGGGGTGGAGTCCAACCATGACCCCTAAAAGCTCTTTTATAAAGAGATAAACATGAAAAAAGCCATAGAAACATGTGACTGGGAACTTTGTAAAAAAAATAAAATAAAATGAGCCCTTGAAGCACTCCTAAAATACCTCTGCTGCCCTAAAACACATGCATCTTTTGAATCAATATGTTTGCTGGGCAAAAGGAATTTGTGACAAAGAATGAAACACTTCCAACATCATTCATTAGATATCCTTAAAAATCGATCTTCAAGCCACTGGGAGGTTTGAACTGCAGAACATATGTACTACTTCTACCCACTATAATATAAATGAAATCAATAAAAGAATTACTGAGGGAAGATAAATGATTGGTTGAATAAATCAAGTATTCAGTATCAGCTGTAGACAAAAAATATACCGAAAAACAAGTTGAGAAACTCTGCCAAACTAACCTATTTATGGACAGCCTGAAATAGGAAACGCATTTTACATCTACAGTGAGTGAGTATGGTTTTACACAGCTTTTAGCAATATTCCAGCAATATCACATCGGGGGACACCAGAAATGGGTTTCACCTATTGCATCAATGTGGGGAATCAAACCCAAGTCTTCAGTGTGACTAGCAGACACTTTAACCACTAGGATACCCCACAGCCCCTTACATTTACAGGCTGATGACCTGTTTTATGAGGGTGGGACACAGCTACCAACCTGATGTTTCAGCTCTCCGAGGCTTGTAAGCAGCTCTGACAACTGGTAGCGGTGCTGGTGTGCAGAGTCAAGGATCTCCACAACACTGTGAAGCAGCTCACCACTCATCTTGCTGATGCTACACCTGTAAACAATGATGCATGCAAACAGCAAGGACATGCCAGCTGGGTTGGTGAAATGTAATTACGTACTTCTTACTTACTGACAATCTTTTAGATATAATTGAATGATTAATTGACGATGAGTACAGAAAATTAATAGGGGTGGCATCCACTTGAACTTATTTCATATAGACGGAGCTTGGTTTCAGGTGTTTTTTTCAGTTATTTTAAAGCATGTGTATTATGTTGAAGGTACCTGACAAAAGTTAAACAGTGGTATGATTTGATAAACAACAACATCCGGCATTCAACCCATGATCAATTAATCCCAAGGCTAAGGGACTAGGTCTGGATTAACTCATGCTGGGTGAATCTGAGTAGGACATGAGGTACCAACAGAACTAACTCAGACAATATCGACCTGTGGTTTATCATGTGGTATGTTATTTAAAGACAAAAATCCCTGTAATTCCATGGTTACACTACACTAATGTTTGCACTTCTTTCTGACAATGCATACATTCCCTCTGAATTTTACAAGTTTGATTAAAGAAAAGGTATCAGTAAACTTCATTTGGTTGGCTGGTTGTTTACCAGAGCTCCAGATAAGATTTAGGTCATGTGGGTACTGTACCCACTGTATTTTTTTTTGGAGTGGGTATTATGAATGTTGAGTGGGTATTTCATTTTCCGTTACCCACTGCTTTCAAATATGTGCGTATTTCAGTCATTTTACTCAAGTACTATGTCATTGAGTAAGTTTACTGAGCAGGTATGTTCTGCCTTATGTCATATCTAATCAAAACCAACTTAAATATAATGGAAATGATTTCATAAAAATCACTCATCCTATACTAACAGTACAACTTGATAGCAATCGATGTCTTTTTCATTACGCAAGCAATTTTTATAAATATATTCCGTACGCATTTGTTTTAAACTTTTTGCGTATCTAACATTTTAAATGTGTAATTGGTACGCAACAATTATTTTTCAATGCGTAATTGGAAAATTTCTATGCGTACATTACCCGGATACGCAGCTTATCTGGGCCTCTGAGTTTACCACCGCACTCAGCAATATTACAGCTATATTGCTGCAGTCTGTAAATAATCAAGTCTTCACAAGACAATCCAGTGATCAACAGCATGAGCCTTGATCAACACAATTGGGATACAATGACATGTGCCAACCAAGTCAGCGAGTCTGACCACCTGATCCAATTAATCACTTTTTACAACAAGCATGGGTTGCTGAAGACCAATTCTAACCCAGATCTTCATGGGTCAGTAAACTTCAGTGTGTAGTTATATGACAATGTAATAGTAATACACCTGCAGCACTGTTTTACAATGAATTACACTGTCAACCACTGTTCTGAAGGTAGTTTATACATTGCCATATAACAGTTTGCCTGGACAGATTATTTTCTATGTGTAAACAAAATATGTTTCACAATAGCTCCGGTCAAACAAGTTAAACAAACATTTTGTACCAACTCTCAAGACCTATATCTGGGGTACCTGGTTAGAGTTTGGTAATATGTGGAGGGTACGCAGGTAATAAATGTTTACTCATCGTAGCCCTATAAGGTAAGTAACTAGACACATCACATCACATCACTGAGAAATGTCCTGAAAGGAAACACAGTGAAGAGACTGCTTACGTTCACTGTCAAGCCGAAATAAATTTAAGAAAAACTGATACTTCAAGTCCATTTGTCAGTATCCATTTCATTGAGTTCATATGACAAGAACAGACATCATGCAAAATACACCTAAGTTGTAAATTTAGTAGTTCAATGTCCAATTTCCATTACCATGATGAAATTTGAAATTCATTTAAAGTACAGATTATCTTGAGAAGCGCTAAAATAATATCTTCTGACACACCTTTCTGCCATTGACAAGGGAGATAACTCAAAATAACATGTTGCATTCGTGTACAATAAAACCGGCACAGTATGGGGACATGCGTGTTTCTCACGTTTCGAATCGACTGATACAATCTTGTCAAGTATAGTGCATTAAGCATGCAAACAAGGTCAAATTTCTAACAAATGCGTAACGTGTCACTGTAGATCTCCGTAACGAATTTCACAAACTTTTTACAGTTTTTGACATTTTCATCTTTTCGAACTATTTAGCAGTAATTTCTCTGCTAATACGACTGACACTGCTACAAACAAAGACAATGGTTACAAATTTGAATAGCAGTGTGGAATATTACCGGTGTCCTCCACAACCGTCTGAACAACCGAGGGCTGGTTTTCAGTGCATAGGGCCCCAGTGCACTTTCCTGAAGGAAGCCGCCATTGATTGAGATGCTATACCCCTAACAGCTACTATTTCACTAATCATTCCTCTCAGCATAATAGATAACATAACACATAATTTTATACAATCATATTAATTCCACACCAATAACAAGTGAGATTCACCCCAAAGTGATATACTATTCAAAATATTTAAGAAAATAATAAAATTTGAATTATATACTAGACAATGAAGAAATATTATTTATTTAAATTGGGAAATGGGGCCAAACTGTTCTGTTATTTAGTTATTGATTGAGCAACATAATAATATTTTTGCATACCCAAATACTTCTGCAACGGCTAAGATGATATAGCCTTATGGGGCCTTTAATTATCTGTGTCATGGGAATTACTTTGTTAGTATAAAAGATGTTTTATAGTCAAGCTGACTGCATAATATATTACTGGTCAGAATTTTAATTTAGGTTTTCTCAGTGACAGCTGCAGTACTTCCTTTTGCATCTGCTTAAATATCTATTGTAAAAAAACAACAACTTTCATCACGTGAAATAAGAGCAATGTAGAGGTACCTTTCTAAAATACTTTTAACATATCTGATATCATTCTCATGGATATCAGGTCTTATTGCTCACTACACTTTCTTCTTTTAATGGTAGCAAGAACTAAGATTTGATTATAATGAGATTGATCTCACATACCACCTTATTATTCTAAATAATTCTTATAAAGTTATTTTCGGGTATTTTAATTAAATCTTGTTTGAAAATGAGGAAAATATAAAAGAATAATGAATGGTGAGTGAACACTATATTTATACCATTTTGTATGTTAGATATTCCACTGTAATAAGGGATAGATATTTAAAAAATACATGCATATCGTCTAAAATAAGTTTAATTTTAAACGTTGTAAATTGTGGAAAAACAGAGTTTGATATGAATTTCATGGCTAGACCAGCAGAGGTCTGGACGCCATAAATAATTCGCTGTCGGGGAAGCAGTATCGCTCTTTCGTGCTTGTATCCAGTGCACTACTCAATGTTGTTGCACACAAGGCTAACTACTGCTGGCGACAAAGGGTAACCATCGAGTTAGCGCGGTGATCGCGAAAAGGAGATACTCGTTCTTTTGGTAAGTTTACTTTTGCCCTTGTCATGATTTCTTAGACTGGCAGTTAAGAATAGTTATTTCTTTCGTGTTATGTGTCAATAATCCTCAAACTCTTGACACGATATCATCATTGTCAAACGTCGATCTTGATGAGAGCACTATGACGGTGTCCTTAGTGTTTATAGTACGCTATGACAGGTGTTTCAATTAGCTATTTCTCATCGTCTTTTCTTATGAGTGAAACTATCATTACAAACAAACTGTGATCTTAGCTGATTTGACCTGTAAATTTTATCCCCTAGTGACGGTTACTAAGTTTAAACAATAATAAGTGTCAGTAACACATTGAAAGTGAGGGTGATTTTAACTGAGTGAAATTGGTTGGGACCAATTATGTTTATTAACCTTCAGTTAGTTAGGATCAACGGTTATGTAACCATTTGCCATAAGTAACAGCAGACCCTGTAAATTCAATATGGTCAATTAAGTGTCCCCAGTGCATGCATCGATAAGCATTGTGTTCATTTCACGGTTCAGTGATCAGCCTAGCCACTTCGAAAGATTCATGGGTGTCTTTGAATAAGCCATTGAAATCCATGATTGGCTTTGTTGACAAAGGTCTATATTTCTTTTGTTACAGGCTGTCTAGGCTATTTCAGTGCCCATGTTTACTTCCTCACAGTAGAGCATGTGGCCCAGTGCAGTCTTAAAGTTGGCCACGTGCCAGGTCAAAGGGGGTCATGCTAGTGGAGCCAAAGCAGTCTTGTCCCCCTGAGTCCATCTGTCTCCTCCCCCACCTGTTTCCTGACATCATCGTTGATCATAGCCGAGGGAATATAGACCTGATCGAGTAGAAGGTGCAGGTTTCAATGGCAAGTGGAGTTCAAGTTATAGGCCCTGGAAATCCATCTGGACACAAGGCTCCCCCTCCGTCTAATCCAGCAGGATCTTCATGGTTACATTTCAGTCAGAACAGACAGTCCTTGCCAAATTACCCAGATATAGTTGATAATGAGACCTACTTTCAGCCCGTCAACTCAGATAGTGTTAATGATCTGACCCCCAGCCAAAACTCCACCAGTGAGTTTAACCCTGAAGCAGGTCTCAGTGGCTCAGGGCACAGTCCCTCCCACCATGTTGGCGAGAGCAGACGGGTGGTATCAGAGCTTGAATCCAGCCCACCAGACATGAGCGGGGCACCTCAGCTACCACTGTACCCCTCCCTGCAACAGGACCCTGACCTCCCCGGTGTCTCCCAACAGTGGCACCAGGCAGGTGCAGATACCAACATACAGGCAGATTCAAACCAGGGACATTAGTGTTGGGGTGTCCGCCAGGATTGACCCTCATCGGGCAGATACCCTGCCTGATTTATTACACTCCCATGTTGCATCTCCAGTGACGCCGTCTCGGCCAAATCAGCATCGACAAACACGGAATGGAGAGAGACGTACTCGACCAGATCATCGAACAAGAAATCAAGGGAGACAAAGGACCCATGAAACCAGTACCCGAACTGCACGTCATGGCCGTAGGAATCGCACACGATCCTCAAGTTCAATACATTCAGATGAGGGAGCATGTAAAGAACCTTGTGTGAAATGTTTTGTGAAATTGACATCATTCCGATGGGTTCTGGTGGTGTTGTCCCTGTTGGGAGTTTGTTGTGTGGTGACTGGGATAGTACTCGCAGCGCTGCATGCAGCAGGAAACAGCTTCCTCTTTCTAGCAATTATGTTCATAGGTAAGTACAATAATGATGAACTCTTTCCAAAACTTACCCAACACTAACAGTTCTTTAACTCAGAATAAGGGTGAAAAGCTACCCATTACATTATTTAATATCAATGCATCGAATGTTATTTATTCTAATTTTTGGAAAAAATGTTAATTCTTGTGTAAAATAGCAATTGGATATTATCATCTATTAAAGTATACTCTGCACCCAACATTGTTTAAAACAGTTAGTTTCTTTGTCATTCTAATACATGTGACTTGTGGCTTGAAAGGCCTTAACTTTGGCAGTGCAGCCTTGAAAGGGTCTTAATTTGCATTCTGTTAATATCCAGTATACTTACTTTTGGATGAGATGACACGTAGCAAATTATTAGTCCACATCATGGTCGATAAATAACTTGAAGTCTGCCATGTGGAACGTGAAAGTTTGATTAGTATGTATGATTTGGATGAACAAATTGAGGTAACATGGCCTTATTGTTTGAATTGACATCAGGCCTATGTAGTTGGCCTTGAATGCATGATCATTGCCCCAAAAGGCCTTTGATTTTGTGTTCCATTATTGTCATGTGGCATAATTATGTAGAGATTGTAATGATCCATGGAGTCTTGACTTGGTGTTTGTTTACATGGTCGTGTTCCAACATACCACTTAAATTACATGTGATGGTCGCCTGTAGCCGACACTAGAACTCAGCTATTATTAGTCACATTCATTTTCATGTACACATGATGAAAGTTATGGCTATTGCACAGAACTCCTGCATATGCGGTGCAAGTTTTAGAATTGCAACCATGAATCTGAGTTTTGCTTATGTATTCAGCACCAAAGGTTTATACCAAGGAATTATAACAATATTTGGATAAACAACTTCTTTATTACAGTGAGAGTGACATAATAAAGAAGTTGTTCGTCCACATATTGTTTTCCTGTTTGACTGATCCAACTTCTATATGCCTCTCTTGGGCGGTGGGGTAGCCTAGTGGTTAAAGCGTTGGCTCGTCACACCGAAGACCTGGGTTCGAATCCCCACATGGGTACAATGTGTGAAACCCATTTCTGGTGTCCCCCGCCTTGATGTTGCTGGAATATTGCTAAAAGCGGCGTAAAACCAAACTCAGTCAGTCAGTCTATATGCCTCTCAAAGAAGTTAGGTTTATACCACCTTCCAGTTATGGGGTACTTACTGCTATACTCATTTCATGTTGTGTTGAGTCTACTGTTGACACAATTGTGATAGTACTGACAGAGAAGGAACTCCTGCCCAAAAAGGTCACTTGATTATTTTTTGCAAAACAATTCTTATTATTACAAGACAAAATATTATGGATGTCAACTTCTTCTTTATTGTATACACAACGTTTCTGGGCTATTGCTTGTGTATACAATAAAGAAGAAGTTGACATCCATAATATTTTGTCTTATACTTGAATACCAACTTCTATATGCCTCTCAAGAAACTCAATTGTTATTATGTGAAGAGTTGCTTGACAGTTTTAAGAACAAAACATAGGTGATAAGATTGACAGAAAGAACTTCTGCAAACTAAAGGTCACCTGAGTTTTTTTAGCAAAACAGTGGTTATTATATAAAGAGCAGCATGACCATTTGCAAGGACAAGACATGATTAATGATTCTTTAAATGCACGTCGAATATAAAAATATTTAGCATGTATTGGTGTATCGTGCCAGTGTGGCTCACAGGATGTGACTCACAGATAAATAGATACTGTAATGTGCAGAGGAATATTAACACATCAGTTTTATGATGGGTGTTTTGAAAATCATCAGTTGATTTATTACATTCTCATATAATTATAGTCTTTCCACTGACATTTAATGTTTGTCTTGCAAGAAGCATGTCAGCTCCACCTGTTTGTGTAAAATGGAGATCACTGTCGTCTGCTTGTCACAAAGCCATGGAACTGTTCAACAACCAGTACGCAAGGTATAGAAGTGAAATGTTTGTTTGAATATTGTAAGCGCTGGGTGCCAGTGTCAACAAGCAGGAAAAGCCAGTATTCATTTCAATAACGTGACAGTCCTTGCTAACTTTAGACGAACCTGTCTGACAGCATGCATCTTCTATACCCTCTACAGAGTCAACATGGTGGGTCTTATTGTAGAAGGCTAATAATGCTTGCAAGATATCTGAAATCTGCCGTTACTTGGCTAGTTGGCCGTGTTTCATGCTCAGTTGCCAACAGCCATTTTTCTGTTGGGGTATAATGGTTGGTGTGTTTCTTGTACAGAAGTCCTGTGTTGAGTCCAAATGTTGAGTGAGTGAGTGAGTTTAGTTTTACGCCGCACTCAGCAATATTCCAGCTATATGGCGGTGGTCTGTAAATAATCGAGTCTGGACCAGACAATCCAGTGATCACCAGCATGAACATCGATCTGGGAACCGATGACATGTGTCAACCAAGCAAGCGAGCCTGACCACCCGATCACGTTAGTCGCCTCTTACGACAAGCATGGGTTACTGAAGGTTCATTCTAACCCGGACCTTCACGGGTCCAAATGTTCAAGTGGGAAATCCTTTCTTGTTACCTGGTACATGTTTTTTGTTGCAGATTTTTCCAAAATCAATAAACTATCTGATATTTACACCTAGTCTATTTAATTAATAAAACTAACATCAGGACTCTGAGGGGCAGTGGGGTAGCCTAGTGGTTAAAGCATTAGCTCACCACACACAGAACCCGGGTTCGAATCCCCACATGGGTACAATATGTGAAGCCCATTTCTGGTGTCCCCGCCGTGGTATTGTTGGAATATTGCTAAAAGCGGGTAAAACCATACTCACTCACTCACTCATTATGTCCAACCTGAAGATCCAATAACTTCAAATGTAAGTTTTATTAGATGTTTATCAGTATTTAAGGAGATTGGTATTTAACCAGAGGTGTGCTGGTGTCACAAGTGGCACTAACTTTGTTGGGACATTAGCTGGAAATGTACACAAACCTCTGCAGCATAGATCCCAGCTAACAATAGAAGCCTTCATTGAGCCATAATAAATTAATTATGATAAGTTCACCCCCACCTGTCACATCAGCCAGACCAAGCCATCCTTGTAAATTACATCAGAGATACACATTATTATCACTGGAGTATTGTGAAGCAGGTATACAAAGCCTTAACACCTCACAAGCCCATGGCAATAACAGCCCAGACCGTAACAGTTACAGCAATGGCATACATGGTGAACTGCTTACAGCACCTGAGGCAGATAGGAATAATTGAGAACAATGGTATGAAAATGACAACAGGGAAGTGCCAGACTGGGGACAACAACAAAAACACACCCCCACCCCCACACTTTGACAGGTTGATATACTGTTTCTTACTTCAAAGGATACTACTGATTGCGTCACAGGTTAGGGAGCAGTCGAGGAGTGGAGGTGCCAGTTAATTATTCTGTCCCAAGATGTGATTGATTTATTGGTTTTATTTGCCTGCTGCCTGTATTTCATTCACACATTGTGAATATCGTCCAAGGATATACACGTGTACTGTAATTAATTGAGGATTTTAGGGATTGTTAATTAAGTAATATTCCAAAGAATATTCTCGTTTGACTCAAACAAAGACTAGTGAATTTTGTGTGTTTAATTCTGTGTGGGTTTTTATGTTAACAAAGTCAGATGATCTGTTTGAATGGCAGTTCAGAAGTTGCTGAAGGACCTACACTGAAATGTCGCATCATAATGTAATAAATACGTCGTCATCCATATAGTATCTTACTGTCAGATGAGGTATTTTAACAAAAAGGTTTCATGACCTTTTGATAATGAGGATTTTTAAAAGAGATTGTAGAGGGACAAGAAGGCTTCATGGAAGTGATCAACTTTAAAAGAAAATTCTGTAGGCAAAACTTTGAATGCGTCAGCATCGTCATGCTTTTACTTATAGACCTGACCTGAAGGCAGCACAATGTTTGTTGATATGGGCAGAGTGATGGTGTTCTGCCTGGCTGAACCCAGCTGACTATATGCCTACAGTGAGTCGATGATGTGGAACACATAACCATAGTAGTTCTGATGCCCTAAATACAGCCCTACCCAGGAGCTGTCACGTTCAGGACTAGTACAGTTGTGAGGGCATATGGCTCCCAATAATCACTTGGCAATTCTAAATATGTGGCACTCTCAAACATTTTGCTGACGTAGTCATGACATTATTGCACATGTAGTGTTGTTCATGTTAATGTTAGATTGAAGAAAGTCAACTGTGACATTCAGAAATCTGGGCATATAACGCCACAGCATCGAACTGTTAGTTATATGTATCATGGAGTCTATGATTGTAGTATTTATATTTTAAACAGCTCAATGTTTTTGCATGGCAGGACTTACAATGATTTTTAGTTTGAATGTTTATAGAACACAGTATTTATCGTTAACATAATCCTGACTGTTGAAAAGTTTTGGATAATGAATTTACAATAGGGTAATACGGCCCTATCCTGCCCAAGAATCTACACAGACACATTAGGTACTGGAATCCCCCAAATCCTCACATGAACATAACATTTTAGCAGAGACTAGGGACCTTCTCTGCCACAGCATTCCCACTAAGAGACAAGTATGAGGTAGGGATTTATCCTGAGTCCTGTATTTCAGGGTCCCTGGGACTCATACTTAGAATTTTCAGGGGTCCTGGACAACACAATGGGGTCACAGACACTTAAACATTATTATTAATACTGTTATTGTATTGTGTATCATGATCAACACATTAATTGTTACAGTAATTAAATTGCAAATCATACCATAACCCAGCGAATAGCAAACTCATTGATAACTTGTTGTTACAGTAGAATACTATTATAACGAACATGGATATAACGAACTGACAGCTATAGCGAACTGTTTTAAAAGTCCCGAATAAACCTTATATTATCATATAAAAAAGTGAATAGCGAACTACGGATGTAACAAACTAATTTCAGTGGTCCCTTAGGGTTCGTTATAAAGGTATTTTACTGTACTTGATTGGAATGT